TCATTTCCCTCACCAGCTGTGCTCCCATTGAGCCACAACATGCTCACGCCATCTTGAGTGTTGAGTGCTGCTTCTTCCATCCCTCTAGGTACAGCCGTTGTATCAGCTGGTGACTCCAGCTGACTTTGCTAATGCAATGACAATAAAAGAAAATCTGCGCCGGGCTCTTGATGAGTTTCAGCTGGAGACCAGTTCCTGTCGCTGTGCTCCATGCCAGGGCAATGGGATCCCAGTTTTGAAAGGTAGGAGGGTGTCCTACACCGCTTCTCTAGCCTCTTGCAGCAGTGAGCAGGGAATCTTTGGGAGGAAGGAGGCTGAGCAAGTCATCAGTTCTTCAGTTGCTCCTGTCATATTCTTTTAAAATGGGTTTTTGGAAGATCATAGAAATACACAATGGTTTGGGTTGGAAGGGACCTTTAAATCATCTCGTTCAACCCTACTGTTATAGGGAGGGACACCTCCCTCTGCTTGGTCCCTATTTGTAGAATGCCTCTCTCTAGTCAACACAGTAAAGTCACAGGATGCACCTCTTTAATGGAAGGGTTTGTCTGCAACAATTTCATGCAAAATTTTGCTCCTGTCTCAAGTATTAAAAAAAAACAAAAAACCTCGATATCTCCTCCTTTGCTTTTAAGTTTGCTTCCATCATCCCAGAGAAGTGTCTACTGTCTCAGCATCAATGAGTGCTTCTTAAAGTGTTTTGAAGATGACCACATCAGTGCCGAGCACAGTCGGCATCATCACCTCCCCATATTTGTAATAGAAGCTGTCCTCCTTTGTAAGCAGGCTGTGATTTAAAAATGAGGGGGGAAAATAATCAAACTGAATGAAAACCACTGCCTAAACAGAGATATACCATGTGATGAGGGCTTCTAGAAGAGGGACCGTTTTTTTCAAGTGCCTAATTCCAATCTGCATGTGCAAAAGTGTTGGTGAGAATCATTGTCATCTAAATGTCTGTCTAAGGCAGAACGATTGCTTGAGGTACCATTGAGCTGACTGTAGCACTTAAGGATTCATCTCATGATTTTCCTTGGTTCAATAACTTCTCAGGATCAAGATCAGTTGGGTTTCATGTAGGGTCTTCTCAACAAGAGGCTTTTAATGACTATTATTTTCTCAAGTGGGAGCTCTCCTCTGGTCCTGGGAGGTCTGAGTGGGGTTAGGTAAGTGTTTCCTCTACATAAGATGCACACTTTGTTCCTATCCAACCCTGCCATGAAATCTCTCTGCAGAGGGACAGAGGAGACTTACTGTGACAGAAGCATAGTGCCATTTCTCTGCTTTATTGCTGCTTTATGCTTTCCTCACCAGAGAAGCAAGCTGACGTAATTTCACCACCTATCCCTTCCCTCGCAGCATCCAAAAGGTATCTGCAGGGAAACATGACATGATTGAAGTCTGTAACCCCACTGTCTCTGCTCTCTTTCAGGAACACACTGTGAGTGCATCTGTCCCCTCAGCCACCGTGGCACTGCCTGTGAGACACCCAGCAGGACAGGTGAGTGTGACCCACAGGGCTGCCTGTGCTGCTGTCTCCACTCTGTCCAGCCCAGGGCATGGGATTAGGGACCTACAAAGGGGGCAAACGCTCATTGCCTGCATGCTCTTAAATTTCATTTTCTTTTCTTTGTGTGCACACTGAGTTGCCTTCACGGTGGTGAGGCAGTGGAACAGGTTGCCCAAGGAGGTTGTGGATGCCCTATCCCTGGAGGCATTCAAGGCCAGGCTGGATGTGGCTCTGGGCAGCCTGGTCTGCTGGTTGGTGACCCTGCACATAGCAGGGGGATTGACACTAGATGATCATTGTGGTCCTTTTCAATCCAGGCCATTCTATGATTCTATAAACTCCTGCCCAATTTACAATCCACATCAGGCCTTGGATCTCCTCCAGCAGTTCAATTTCCCAAGTTCTTCCCTTTGATACAGTCCATACATTGCAAACTGTTTTTCTTTAGGCATGTTGCCATGCATTTTAATCTTAAAATCTTATTATGTTGTTTTGAAGCATTCTTGCTCGCTTTGTATTGGTGCTGTCTCCTGACTGATGTTCTAACTCCTTCTAGTTTAGGATGGCCTGTGAATTTAATCATTTTTGTTTACTTCTTCCAGCTCATTAATCTAGATGCTAAATAATACTGGATCTCAGGCAGCCAGAGCTCTGGCACCATCCCACACTTTGCTGCACTGCATTTATCACCGCTCATTGTTTACAGTCTTTTATCCAGTTCTCATTCTGCTTGACTGTGTCCTACCAAAGCCAGGCTGAAATGCATTGTAAGCCAAGATTACACCAAGCAAAAGGTCAATTTTGGAGGTGTTTCTAAGCCAGTCTGTTCAACCTTAAACTGTGGAGTCACTTACACCTTGTTCCGGTCTGCTTAGCACACATGTAATCACATCTGACTCTCCCATAGACTCACATCCATCCACTTGTCAGCATAAAACTTCTCACTCCCCTTTCCTTCTTTTCTGTGTTGCTCCTGTGTTCGGCTCTGTGATTCTCAGGATTTTGAATTTCTGTCACTCACGTGCTCAGGGTCCAGAAGAAGACATTGTAACAGGAAAAGCAGTGGGCAGAAAGCTGAATATTCAAGCTGCTGTTCACTGAAGGAGAACGTGCTGGGATTATCCCTAACACCTCAAAATGTGACATGACTTTAGTTGCTCTTTTCCTTACTTGGGTTGGATTAGGTCAGGGAGAGAAACACCCTATAGCCAAAAATAAATCTGATTGATACATTCTTTTTGTCCTCAATGTGCAAAACGTAGTTTGAACAAACACCAGAAATGCTGAACAGAGATGTAAAAGTACATAAAAGTATTGCTGCTAATGACTCAGGTGTGTTAGTGTTGGTGTGGATGGGGCAGAGCTGTTTGTATGTAAATACGATTCATGGAATCTGACAGCTCTCCCCATGGAAAGAGCTGCTTTATTCTGACAGTCCTCTCTGGCTTGGTTTTTATTTTCCAGATGCTGCTATTAATGGAAACTGGGGTTGCTGGGCCAGCTGGTCTCCGTGCTCAGGAGGTCAACGAACAAGGAGGCGGCAGTGCAACAACCCGGCACCGCGGAATGGCGGCTCATCTTGTTCAGGGCCAGATGCTGAAACAGTTACTTGCTAGAGGGAAAATCATTAAGAACTCAGTGTACACACAGTGACCAGCTTCCAAACCGAGTGGGAAGGTGTTACCTGACTAGCTTGCTAAGTTGGCTCTGCTCTGCTTGTCTCATCCCAGTGCATTCAGAAGGCATTGGTAGCATCGCAGCTTTGGACGTGCTTTGCAGTTGTCCCATGCTCTGGTTGTGCTTACTGTTCTCTGTAGTTTTTCTGTGTCTTTATGTCAAAATAGGGACGAGCTGCATCTCATGCCTTATTTGGTAGAGACTGTTGTGTGATTTTAAGTTCTGCCATTTTATTTTTGAAGGTTCCTTTGAGATAAGAAAAGACTGATCTTACACCAGAATATGCACTAACATGCAGCTTCTGTGAAGACAGCTGTGTCACGTGGAGTGAAATACAGCATATTAAAGTCTAAATCTCAATGAGCACTATAGTATCTAGTGTGACATTCAAAGCCACTTCCCCAGTTTCCCTATTTATGGTATTTAACTTAAATTCTCTGTCGTATTAGAAGTTATGTTGAAGGAGTGAAAACCAAACTGCAAAGTGCAATCTGGTGACAGTGAGGTATTGTTATGTAACTGCACAGCAGTGGTACTCACTGCAGAGACAAGCTTCCTCCTGTGCATTCAGAAGTAGAACAGGCACACTGAGTGCACCCTGATACACTCAGATACTTTTTCCTTGGAGAAGTCAGGGAAGGACAAAGGGATTTTACTGGAATGGGGAATGGGAAAGCAGCTGCTCCTTCTGCTGCTGCCTGGGGCTTTGGGAAGGCAGCAGAGATGACTGCTCGCAGGTTAGGTCATCAGAGATGGAGAGGGTTTGCTATGAAATGAGACAAAGCAAAATGTGTGATTTGCCCTTTGTTACCATCCCTAAAGCAATGCATCACAACCCAGGTCCTACAAAAGTGGAACTTATGTCTCTATGCACTGCTTTGCGATTCAACTGAGAACAAATGGTCTGGGGACTTTCCTCCTGCAGCTTGTTTGGTAGTTAATGATTTTTACACAGACATTTGTTGGGGCATGCTATAAAATTACAAGAGAAGCTTTGCTTTGGGAAAACAGTGCAACCAGTGCAAAGTCATTTGTGAGTGTTGTGAGTCTCCTAACATCAGCAAGGTCAAACATTCTTAGGAAGGCTTTTAAGGATGCTGGTGATGATGGGTTGATATCACCAGTTTCTCTTCTTTCAGACTGATGCTGTCTAAATGCAATTCTTGTAAGAACATCTCAGGCTCTCTGACATATAAACAATGGAACATGCATTTAGTTTTAGCCCTCATGCCGCCTCCACACTTATCGACAAGGTTTGTGTGACAGCTTTAAGAAAGGAAGAGCACATTGGATATGTGCATATGTAAAAGCAGCTCCCTCTGTACTCATAATGGGCTACATATGTAATTGGGCTGCCAACCCACAACATTTCCTCATCCACTGTGTAACTGTGATGTCTTTTGTGTGGTAGGAATTTGCCAAGTGGCTCATTCAGGTTCATGGTCACTGCTAATGCAATCTGCATTTTTCTTTGTGGTTTTTAAAGGGGCACTGTGGAAGCAGTGCAACAGAGGAGCCCAGTCACCAGCTTGCGTTGGTTCATGGGCACCTGCCTGTGAGGGCACGCGCTGCAGTGCTGCTGCTTCCCCTTCTGATTGAGGAGCTTTCTCAGATAAGTAGAGTGTCTTTTGTAAATGTGACCCCCACTCCATCACAGTGGAGTAAGCACTCTGACCTGTGGTCATAGTGCATCTATCTGCTGCTGCTGCAAGCAGAGCAAAATACAGCAACCCAAAGCTTGCCCCCTATCAGGAAAGCCCAGATTTTTTGAAGTGGAAATGCCTGAGTTTGTATTATTTGGATTTGGATTGGGTGTTTTGTTTTGTTTTTTGGAGGAAGAAAGACTTGGCAATCTTCAAATGAGTAGGACAGCCTACCTGGTGTATCGTTTCAGTAGCAGTTGCATGTTGAGCCTATAGGCTCTAGGAGCCTCCCCTAAAGGACATAACTTTATCTTGTCCTTGTGATTTTGTGCTTTGATTTAACTAGCTAACAATTTACGATGACCTGGAGGGTAATAAAAAATTCTGTGCTGAAGGTTTTATTGTTTCATTTTGATATGCATTAAATTTTGGTACTATCTTTTACTGGGGTTTCTCACTTCCACTTTCCGTGCAAGTTGACATTAATAACCCAGGTATGAAAACAAGAAGGCTGCAGACACAACACGTGCATGTTCTCTGCTGGTTAAGCCCATTTTCCTGGCTAAGATTCTTGTCTCAATGGGCTTTATTGCATCTCATATTGCATTCCTGCCCTGGACCAGATGTGCTGTATTAATATGGGTTTCTTTACATTGGAACTAGATGATTTAAAGATCTGTTCCAACCCAAACTATTCTAAGACTGTGTGGTTCCTTAAACCTGTGGTAGTTCTGTATCATTGCTTTTGTCACCTGTGTCTCAGCACAAGAGCCATACTGACTGGTTGTCACAGCTATTGCTATTTGCATGCTAAAAATAAACTCAGTAAACAGGGAAAATGTATTTTTTCCACCTCCTTCCTGAAGATGTTGCTGCTGTGATGTGTGATGGATCCAGTCAACATGGTTTGGAGAAGTTCCAGAAACAGTATTTTTGGTAAGTTCTAATTGTCGTGTCATGATATTAGGAAGAATTTCCTTACAGACAGGGAGTGTTCAATCATTGGAACGGGCTGCCTGGGGCAATGGTGGGGTCCCCATCCCAGGAGGTATTCAAGACATGTGTGGACATGGCACTAAGGATCATGGTTTTGTGATGAGTCTCAGCATCAGACTGATGGTTGGACTTGGTGATCATGAAGGTCTTTTTTATCCTAAATGGTTTGGTGACCCTGTGATTCTGTGTCCAACTTTCCCAGCACAAAACCAGCCTGATTCTTACTGCACCTAACATCGGAAATGGGTCAGACTGATTTCCAGCTGGGATTTGGTCTAGGCTGTCATCAGGTTGGTTCACGGTCCAGCAGCTGATCCATGATCCCTTGCATTGATACGGTAGGAGAGCTGGGTGACTTGCAGCAGTCTTGCCATTGTCCCCACCCAGGCCTCTGAGGGCATATAAACCAGAAATCTGCTTTACAGAGAAAGTAATGGACACAGACAGAGAGACTGCATAGAAAGTGACCCAGCAAGTCCATGTAGAGGTGATAACAGTCCCCAGATTGCCAACAGTGGGTTGTTCTGCAGTACTCGTAATACAGCCCAATAAGCACCAAAGCAAACCGCCAGCTTTCAAATTATGGCTGCAGATTTCTCTTCCTTTTATATCCTATTTTAACACCTTCTGGTTGTGTAAATCAACAACACTAGAGAGGAGGACAGTCATTATTACCATTATGTACTACCATTATTAGCACTTAGACTCTCACTGTGCTGGGCACAATGCAGCAGCACAACAAATGCCAGCCTCCCCCTGAACTCCCCAGGATCTGGCATTTCTTTTGTTTTTATCTACTGTCTTTTGTCATTTCTGTTGTCTTTTGCAGTTTGGGGTAGATTTGATGTTTTGCTTCTTCCTGCAGCAGTGCCTTAACACTGTATAGAGGGGAAGGAGACAATCTCAGAGCTGCTCCCAGTGGGCAGTCCTCAGCTGCTGTGAAATAGAGGGCTGGGAGGGACCCATCCATTGGGGCAGCCAGCATGACATTGACCCCGGGGTGGGAAACAGCTCTGTCTCAGGCACTGCCCTTATCTCCTCTCCTGTTAGCTGGTTATCTGGAGCCTGCACCTTGCAACCTCAGGTGTATTGTCATCAATCATTTGCTGTTTTCTGTTGCGTACTGGTTCTTCTCTGCCCTTCCTTTGTTAATAACCCAGTTTGCCTATATCCATAAAAATATCTGATTGTGATACCATTTATCCAAAGCACCATACATCCATCATGTACTTACGAGAGAGATAAACAAGGTCTCCTGGGAAATATGCCACAAGAAATATATAGGATAAATAACTATATCAAATGTATGTCAATGTGCAAGAGGGGAAAATCCATTCATTAAAGCCAGGGTGGAACCGTAGTGTTTTATTGTACCCTCTAAGCTTTTAGTTTAAGTAAGAAATGTACATTTTTGCTCCTTATCTCATCTAGCACAGCTCTCATGCTGGCCACTTCAGCAGGAGAAATATTAGCTTCTTTGAGTGGCAAGTGGTAAATGTGTAATTGCTCATAATCTTTTTTATTTCTTTTCTCTCTCTTTTTTTTTTTTTTTTTAATTTAAACAGACCTTATGGGCATTTTCTCCCTGGACTGCAGTTCTCTGCTCTGAGCTCTGGGGAGGAAGATGCCTGAGTCCTGGGTGAGCAGAGGAAAGGGGCTGCTGCCCAGCCCTTCTTGGTGTTGGTTCACATTCAATTCTTTCATCATTTGGATTTCTCTGGTTGTGGTGACTTTCCAGCCTTATAGAAATGCCTCCAAAGGTGAGGCTGCAGGTCATCTTCCCCCAGCCTCCACTCTCCAGCCTCTTAGACAGCAAATCTTTCCCTTCATTAATTTCTTCCCCCTGGCCACAGAGGCTCACTGCAGTAGCTTGACTCTCATTTGCTCTTGGGTTTTGTCCCAAGCAGTCTGTGCACAGGTGAGAATCACCCATGAACCAAAATAGTTTTGGATGTAAGAACCCTGTCATATGTTTCTACATAATCACTGAGTCATAGTATCATTAAGGTTGAAAGGGACCTCTAAGATGATACAATCACAGAATGGTTTGGGTTGGAAGGGACCTTTAAGATCATGTAGTTCCTGCTATAGGCAGGGACACCTCCATCTAGACCAGGTTGCTCACAGCCCCATCCAGCCTGGCCTTGGTGCTTCCAGGGAGGTGGTATCAACAACTTCATTGGGCAACCTGTGCCAGCATCTCCCCATCTTCACAGTAAAGAATTTCTTTATCAAGTCCAAGTCATCAAAAGCAACCATCATCCCATCACCCCTTTGCCCATTGATCATGTCCTGCATAATGTCCCAGCCCTATGCCAACAACTATTGATAGAACCATAGTGGGAAAATGCTGCTTTGCTCACTTTCCTCCGTGCTGCCTTAATCACACCAGTATCAGTGGATGCTTCATGCTGCTGCATTTTCTCAGCATAGAAGACATCAGATCCAAACCCTGGGGAGCAAATCTATCTCTGGATGAATGCAGACTTTACCTGGGAAAGCAAGCTTGGCAAAAAGGCCACCGTTTTTTCAGACATTTATCCACATCTTAGAAACGTGTCGTAGTAATTTTTCACTGAAAAATCAAACCTTGGTGTTTGAGACAGCACGGTTTGTTATTTTCTTATACAAAAAAAAAAAGAAAAGAAGAGAAAAAAAATGCTGCAGTTTCACTTTCAAGCAAAACAGAAGCGATTAAAAAAAGAAAAAATTATCTTTTGGCAAATGTGCACACAAAAGAAAATATGGGGCCAGATCTTCGGGTAGCATAAATCAGCTGCAGTGAAGGAGCTACACTGATTTACATCAGCTACATGTCAGCCTCTAAATCACCACCGACACACTGTTGAGAAACAAGCATTTCCAAGCATCAGAGCTAGAGCTGAGCAATTTCTTTCACTAAACCACGATTCCTTTCCCATTCAAATGTATGTAGAAGTGCTCCTTTGTGCTTTGAGGTTTTGTTGCTGTTCATAATGCTTGATTCCTTCTCAGGGCTTTTTCCCCCCTCCCTGCTTTCCCTGCAATGCAAAGCGCAGTGAAATAAAGTGCCACTTGCCTTCTGTCCTCCCTGGGTTTTGTGGCAGTTCATTAAGAGGGCTGAGCTGTGGGCTCTGGATGCAGTTCAATACCACATGTATTCCTGTGCTGAGATTTATGCCTTACGTTCAGAAGAGATCTTTAAATCAAGCAGCTCAGTAGCAAATTCTCTGTCTCTGGATGCCCAGGGCATGAAATGCCCATGTGCCAATCAGCCCATCACTGGAGGAGCAGCCTGCCCCTATGTGAGCATCCCCTGAAGAATGGTTTCCTTCCGGCCTCTTTGTTACTTTATTTGTTGATGTAAGAATCTTTGAGCTGACATTTCACAATGGCTCTTTGAACGTCTTTGGGCTTAAGCTTCCTCCATGCAGCTCAGCATATGGCTTTACTGAAGACACAGCCCTGTCCAATATGCTAGACGTAAGAATCTGACGGTGCCAACTTATAAAAGTTTCATGGTACATATGCCAATACCAACTGCATAAAAATGCAAGGATCGCGAGCTTTTAATTTGTTTTCCAAAGGCAAACATAGACATTTCCGCGAGTAAACAGTTCTAACCTGTGTATTTCATACCTGAGGCACTTAGAGCCTTGAGCTCATGCCTATGGAGCCATGCTGGGTTCAGCAGGAAGAGCTCTGCTCATCTCTCCCCATGCAGGATGCCCCTCCATGCTGCGGGGCTGGGTTGCTGCATTGCCGGCTGCGGTGCCGTGAGCCTGACTGGCACGAGGTCCAGGATGACCAGCAGCTCCAGTGCCCATCTGTCTCTGTGCCTGGAAAAGCATAGGACATAAATTATAATGTTTGTCTCACCTGAAGAGCTGCAGTTTGACTTCCCAAAGGGCTGCCAGCAGCTCTCTGTGCTAATTCCCCCACCTCCAAGCAAGGCAGAGGGACAAATATCCCCTAGACTCACTGTTGTGGAGCTGTCCCAAAAGCCCACCTGTCCCTGTGCAGATGGGTCAGTTTGAGGCTTTTTCTTTACAATACAGACTGAGATGTCAGGTGTGTTCGATACTATAGATTACAGCAGTGCTTCTGAATGATGGGAGTGCTTGATGGCTGTCATTTACTGTCGTGTTTTATTTACTCAGCTGGCCTTCATCTCTGGCTTGGGCACTTTATTAATCTGAACAGTAAAAATGGATTTGTGTGCTCTTACTTAGAGCTGGATGAAAAGCTGGGCTTCCCAGCTTCTGAAATACTCTTCTTTAGAAAAAAAAACAAAAACAAAAAAAAAAAAAAAAAATCAAAAAAACAAAACCACATTTGCTCTTAAATGAGTTTTGAAACTAAAAATCCGCTTCATTTCCATGAGCTGAAAATCCTGCTCTGTCCCCTCTTCATTTCTAAAAACCAGGAGCCACCATTTCTGGATGTGTCCAAGAACCACAGAGATGTGGCAGTGAGGGACATGGTCAGTGGGTACATTCGGGGTGTGTTGGGGTTGGGCTTGGGGATCTGAGAGGGCTTTTTGATGCCGTGATGCTCAGAGCAATTTGTGTGAGTGCAATGGGTTTCTTAGGTTTGGAGACAACCCAACCTGAGGTTGCTGGTTTTCTTAAAAAAAAAAAAAACAAAAAAAAAAGGCCACTTTTGAGTCATTGAGCCACTGCTTTTTAGTTCAGTTTCATAAATCATCTACCAAACTTTGCTTGTATTCCTTATCGCAGATCTGATTTTCCAGTGGAGAGGCCCTAATTACCAGCAGGTATTTGAAGGTCTGGAGCTGTGTTGGGTGGAACTGCTCTGTTTAACATCGTGTGTCAGCAGAGGGGAGGACTCATGGTAGTCCTACAGCTCCTCACTGGAAATGAGGGGACAGCATGAGCTCTGCAACCTGGGACAGTGAGAGGACCCAAGGGAATGGCATAGAATTGCATCAAGGGAGGGCTGGGTGGGGGCGAGGGAAAGGCATTGCCCCAACCTGCCAGAGCTCAGGGAGTGCTGGGACATCTCTCTCAACCATAGGATTCAGGTGGTCCCATGTGGAACCAGGAGTTGGGTTCAGTGATCTTTATTCCCCCCCCAACTCAGGATATTCTGTGTTGGTTTACCACGTGCATGGACAGCTCTGTCCCCTCTATGGGAGCACACTGGGACCTCACCTTGGTGCTCAGTCTGCTCACAGACAGGGCCACTGTATCCAGACCGGCACTGGCACGAGCACTCATCTCCCACCAGGACAGGTTCCCCATTGTTCTGGCATGGCCCACAGCGACAGGCATTGAATTCCAGCAGGTACTCATCCAAAGCCCGCTTCAGGTGCTGCCGTTTGGTTTCCATGTTGCCAGCAGCACTTCTGCGCAGGATTTCGTGGATAGGTTGCAGCTGCACAGGATGGAGATAAAGAATGGAGGTTGGAGATTACAGCTGGGACAAACTCAGGTGCTGCAGAGAGCAGGGAGATTGCTGGGTAAAGGCAAGGCTGAGAAAAAGCTCATTTGTCTTCCTCGACAGCTGCATGGATGTGATGCAGACGTTACCACCACTGATAGTGCCTAGTGAGAAACCACTGGTCCAAAACTCTTCCCATCTTAGAGGTCTGTGTGGGAATGGCTTCTTTTGACATGCTTTGGTTTTTCAATGTGGATCCAAATGATAAATCAGAACACCCCAGTAAGCCCGTTGTTTGATTGATTTCTTACTGCTGCCACAGTGTCAGGTTCTTGCACGCCTTTTGCTTTTTTGAACCAAAAACATTTGGGTGAGAGCTTCAGACAGCGGGTATCATGGAAACTAAACACTGAGAATTTTATCTGCCTACATTTTGCTCTTTGATACTGTGAAATAATGCTAAGGCATCTACAGCTTTAAAAGCATAGCAAGCTTTTGTATTTCCAGTAGCGAAATGCAGTTCTTGTGTATGATTAATCAAAATATCCAGATGTAGACAGCTGTAATTGTAACCTACCTTCTGCTTTGAGCCTACTCCATAGGATTGATAGGATTAGCCAAAGGGCATCAGGCTCATACACTGGTGGCAGGGCTCTGCCTTTTGAAATGCCATGAGTGGCTGTTCAGGGTGTGTTAGGTATTCAGCTGTGTTTAAAAACTGGATCCATGAAAAATCTCAGCCTTTCCAGTTTCACCAGTAACAAAAGGGAACTTTAAAGCAACAAGCTCAAGGCCGATGCGAGGACACACATCTATATGCCTAGCATGCATCTGGCTGAGAACTGGTGAGCGTCAGTCCAGGAAAGTCCTGAGCATCATCTCATTGCACAAGGCACACAGGGCGAGGAGGATCAGAAAGGCTTTGGGAAGAGCTCTTAGTCCAATTTGTATAAACTTGTTTAACAAATGAGCGCGAGCTACAGATAAGCACTGTTATAGTGGACATAGGAACTTATTGGCAGCATGAAACGCTGCTGGTTGCACAATGATGGCTGAGCTCTCAAAGCAGCCAGCAGAGAGGCCAGCAGGTGTTTTACTGGAAAACTGCAATAAGTTTTGCCCAGAGTTGATGGGAATTGGTGAAGAAAGGTGAATAACCTGAAGCATGCATTCGGTTGTGACTGAAAGCACTTGCTCTTTAGCTGGCCTTTCTGCTACTGGGGTGCTGCCCAGAAGGCTTTGCAGATTCCCACTTTCCTGACAGTAATGCAAATAATTACCAGTTCCACTACTTCTCTTTTACTTTTTGGCCCTCTTGCTGTACTTCCTTCTATTGACAGCAAGGATGGCTATGACACTGTGTCCACGCTGTGACCCTGGTCCTTCCTTCACACTAAGAATCCCTATAGGATGCCCCAGTTGAACTTCCCTTTTTACAGACCATCCAATAAAATGGGAGGATAAGAACTTTGCTGATTTTTATGGCCACAAACCCTCTCTGCAGAGCATGGGAAGAGATAGGACCCCACTGAGAAAGTGGTTTTTCCTGCTCTAACTCCTGGAAGCACCCATAACAATGTATTTTTCACACAGAGGGTGATGACACATTGGAACAGGTTGCCCAAGGAGGTTGTGGATGCCCCTTTCCTGGAGTCATTCAAGGCCAGGCTGGATGTGGCTCTGGGCAGCCTGGCCTGGCAGTTGGCGACCCTGCACATAGCAGGGGGTTGGAACTGATGATCATTGTGGTCCTTTTCAACCCAGGCCATTGTATGATTCTATGATTCATTACCCACCGTGGTGTGCAGAGGTTTGCTAGAACCACTGTGGCTCTGAAGCAGGCAGAATGTGAACTGTTCCCCATGAATATCCTGCCTATACAGGAGGCCAGGAGCATTAGTGAGAATAATAGGGGTGGATGCAACCATGGAGAGCCTCTCACGGGGAAGCTGTTTGGGGACACATCACAAACTTAACTCGGCACTAATCCAGCATTAAGCTCCTTGTCTGCCTCCCTGCTGATGCTGCTAGCAGGAGATGTACTCCCCATTGTGAAATGAATAAGAGGTTACTAGATCAGTGGCCCATTACATTTAATCTTGTTCTGTGATGGGATCACAATAAAAATACGAAATGATCTGCTCGGCTACACTTTCATTCGTTATAGTGGCAGAGTTTCTTCAACTGCAGAAAGCCTTACCTCAAAATCAATAATAGCTGGATTATATTTTAATGACCTTCCCCAGCGCCGATACGTGTTGCTATCCCAACTGCTTAAGGGCCGTGCACTGTAAGAGGTATCTCCACCTTTAATCCGGACAATGATATCTTCCACGACTGGACTGTTGCTCCCAGCATCTGAGAAGTCAGCTAACACACATATATTTAGTTACCACATCTACACAAGGAACTGCACAGTTCAGTCATCATAGGGACTCTCAGTGAGTGGTACCAGTGCAGGACTCCCAAAATTAAAGGATGCTCCATTTCTTTCTGCACTGGCAGGGTGAACCCTCTGCATTGTTATAACGTGGTTGGTGACAAGTTAAGCGCTGGCAAATGCCCAAAGCTGGTAAGACCTAAAGAGGCTGCACATCTCTGGCCTTTATGTCTGCTTAGCATGGATGCAGACCTCCTTGTCTATCAGTGGGGTTTTCTGTTTGTTATGATCAGCTTTAACTTATGCAGTAGACACCTTGTTGCCCTCTCTGGTCCGGCATTGGCCCCGTGGGTCACAACAAAGTCTCCTGCATGTTTGATGACACATGGGAATCTACAGAGGGACTGGAGCCACGGGCCAATTCCAAGGGAGCATGGGGGCTTGGATCTGATTTTTTTTGTCTCCCTGGTTCATCCCTGCCCACCCTGGGGTGGCTGAAGGGACTGTAGCTCACCAGTCATCCTTTCACTCTACTTACATTTACTACTTCAATATCTCTCAAGAGGCACCTGCTCCTGGAGAGTGGAACCCAAATATGCTTTTGTCCCACCTTGGGTCTGAGCTGTGTCTTGGGCTAGCACCCAAGAACAACACCCAAGAACACCTTCTATACCTTGTAACCCTATCTTAACCCACAGGCTCAGTGACAAAGGAATGGAGCCATGGACTGTATCTTAGCAGACAACTATCCCATCACCATACCAGCATTCAGAAGCTGTTTCTCTGCGCAGACAGAGAGTGACACAGATGCTTCCCAATGCAGCATAAGCTTTGTGGCTGACATGCCCACTGAGAGGCCAAAACAGGTGGTTACTTCTTCATAGCTGATGTCTGTGAAGCAATAATGCAAACAGTAAATGCAGTGATTAGTACTGAGTGGAAGGTTTTCATTTTCCCACTTGTGTATTTCATATCAATGAGGAAAATAGTCAGCTAATTACATTGCCTGTTACTCACAGGCTTATTCCAGGCACAGAACAGCCTTCAGCCTCACAGTGGCAAAGCCAAGCATTTATTGGGATGTATTGGACCATATTAGGTGAATAGGGAAACTTCCTTACCAGTAAGTAGTTTCCTTCTTATTAAAAGAAACAGAATATCTTAATACAAGACTTCAAGCACATATTTCCTTCTTTGGCCATTTATTTAAAATGGGAAAGATTTTGTAGTTTTTGTTTGTGGGGGTTTTTTTGGTTGTTGTTGTTTGGGTTTTTTTTTTTGTGTGTGTGTGTGTTGGTTCTTTTTTGTTCCTCCCCTCCCCCCTCCCCAGAGACTAACTTACAAATAGAGTAAAGCTGGGAACAGCAGCTGAAATCAACATGTTGTTGCTAATTTTCCCAAACTAAGGATCTGACCAATGTATAAGCAGCACCTTCAGCAGTCACTTGCTACAGTTTTGTCTGCTGTAAGCTACAAAAGCCTTATTGCATGCTGTTATAGTGCTGCCACATACATCACACAAATATGTAACTGGAGACCCATGAAGTGACTGCAGAGGGGAGAAGCAGACTAATGAGGTGGTTTCACTAAGGTAAGCAATGTGCATATTTCATATGGTGTAGTTTTATGTGTATGCTTCAGTCTGCTGCAAATGGAAAAATGTCTTTTGGATTAGTTAGGAAATCTTTCTGTTTCAATTAATATGGGTATTGTAAGAAATAGGTGACTTTCACGATGCTCCTTTTGTCAGACACCCTGCTCTTCTTGGCAGGATTTTTGCACTGTGTTTTAGTGGTTTAATGGTTGAGGCTCCAGTTAGTTGAGCCTGACCCAGAGCACTAAGTTTGCCTTGTGCTAGGGAGCAGCACACTCTCTTGCTTGCCTTTAAAACATGAGTAAAAACTGCTGTTTTTCTGTCCCATATGTCCTAATGGGGAGGTGGGGAGTTGTGCAGGGTGTGGAGACGCTCGGTGTCTTCACGTATGTGCTCAGTGCCCTAGGAAAGGGACTTCAAGTCCTGTTCCTGAAGTGACATTCCTCTGAAACCCTCTGAAGGCTTCATAGGGAATTACATCTCCATGCAAAATGGAGCCCTTGAGGAAGATCAAATGGATAACGCACCGTTACTTGCAGTAAAGTGCTCAACAGTTGTAAGTGCAGTGGGTAAAGTTCACTCACCCAAAGCACCGTGAGTGATTGCTCATCTTAGTGTTGGAGGGCCATAAAATTAAACTCAAGGAATGCCCTGGTTAATTGATTTGCTATGGTTCCTATTGAGTAATTATGTTCAGCGAGGGTCTGTCAATACAATTTGCTATTGGCTGCAGCAAGATTGGGTCTTGATAAATGCAAAGTGGTTATCATTGCAAAAAGATGGTCATAGAAAATATTGGCACTTGAGGGAGGAGCCCTGATAGTTTTTTTATGTTATGTAATTTGCAATAGCTGAGTGTGCTCAAGATTTACTGCTTTGTTTTGAATTAATCAGAATATATGAAGACTCTTTCTAATTTACTCTGCGCGTAATGTTTCTCCCATAAATGTTCTTGTAATGTGGGAACACATTACATTATTTTCAGCTAAATAATAGAGTCATAACAATCTATTTTTAAAAAAGTAATGAAAAATATTGATGGCAGAGTAACAAGGGACCTTACTCTGACATAAGCATTTGTTTAATTCACTTGTGGCCATGTTCATAGAAGGAAGCTATTGCAGCCTGAAAGCTAGTGATGGGTCTCACTGCAAAACTGCAGTCCTGAGCCCTGCACAAGTTGGTTGTGGTCTGTTTGTGTGTGTCTTAATGCAGAAGGTGACCTCATTATCAAAATTCAGGTTTCTCAGGTGCTTGAAATCTAGCTCATGTGTATGTTTAGTTGTCTCAGTGACCACCAGATATTCTCGTTTAAGCAGAGCTCAGCCTAGGGATTTTATTTCCTGGGCATGACTGGCTCAATCACCTGTCCACGAAAACAAAAGGATTGTTTTCTCTTCCAAAGCATTTAATGTGTAGCTTCCTGGGCTAGTTGGATTCTCAGGATGTATGGGTGGATCTAAAGCAGGAGTTGTGCTGCTCAGCCCTGCTTCAAACTCGTTTTTGGAAGCCCTAGTTTTCAAGATTTGAGAGCTTTATACCCTGATCCTGACCATCCCTCAGGGGAGTTGAATAAATCCTCTTGCAAATACAGCCTTCAAGCAAGCATGGCAGTGATCGCCAATGGAGAGGCTGCTTTTTCCTCATGGCTTTGCACAGTAGCTTATCAGCCACTGCAGGTGGTCCTTATGGATCTACATCATATGATGCAGAGTGCTGTTGATTTGATAAATGTGGCCTTTCTAGCAGAATCTGAGTTAGATGGAAATTACACAAACGTGCCCCATTAGAATGAAAATTACATCTCTACTGGGGCACATTTTTGTCTTTTGCTGAACTTCAGCATCCTTCTTCCCTAAAAAAGGGCATCTTGTAGCAATAAATATACTCCTCAGATACATAATAAACACGAGAAAGTGAAATAATAGCCTGCATCCACATGTGCTTGATTAATTCTTCCTCTGAATTTGGCAGTCTGTTTCCTGATGACTCGCTTGCCAAGGCTGTGTTCACTTCTATGTCCCTCACTCTTCAAAGTGAATGAATGATTTGAAGAGGCATCATGTTTCCAAACATTGCCATTTGAGGAATTCAGAAAAAAATCTCTAAATGGGTAATTTCTTGCAGAAAGATGGCATGGCTAATGCTAGCTATGCAGTGTGTAGTTATTCTAGTGCTGGTGGTACCAAAACATTTCAGACTGGAGAGCAGAGCCATGGAAACTGATGTGATTTCAGCAATTTGCACCTGAGTTCCAAATTCAAATTTATTTTGACCTGAATTCTCATAGGGGCATAGGTACCCTCAGCAGAGGAGAGTGGTGATATTTAGGTAAATCTGGATCTGTTGCACTATTGTCACCTTTGCAAAAGTTGGCCATCTGTTTAGTGTAATCCATGGTACCATGTTACTGTTGTTCTGCATCTTGTGTTTTTGATTAGGTAGAGCGTTAGGCTTTGGCTCTCTGGTAATGGCTATTTCTACAGTCTAGGTATCTGCAGTGGATGTTTCATTGAATGAGATTTAGAGGTACAGCTCTCCAGCCTCATATGCTCTAATTTGTTGAGAGCTGGAGCTGACAGAGCTCTGGTAGTCTTTGGATATGACACTAGCCAGAATAAGATGCTGAGCTATTGCCAAGTGCAATGGGTTATTTCCATTTGCAGAAAATTGAAGTCCTCATTTTTAGGATGTGAAAGTGTCAGTGGGCTCTCATTCTTTACTTTGGATGAGTTTGCAATCCTTGAGCATCCATAAGGTGGCCAGAGCTAAGACCCTAAGCAATAGAAGAGGTTTAGAGAAGACTAGTAAGTGACACTGGAGAAAGAGAGAAAAAGATACTCGGATTCCTTATTAAACTACCAAAAAACCTCACTCAGATTATTCTAAAATGAGATCAGGAAGAACATTTTGTGACAATAAAGCTTCTCCTCTGCTATGCATCAAGTAGTATCTTGTGAAGAACGTGTGAGTACTCATACCCCAGCCCCACTGCATTTTGGGGATTTTTGGTGGATGTATGTCTATCTTGTGATGAGAAATAGGCTCTCTTTTCCAAGCTGGCTGCTAATGAGCATCCACCCACCAAGGAGCCACCAAATGCTGGACTGGACCTATTCCATGATCTACAGGTTGTTAAATACCTGGTTTAGAACAGAAAGTTGTGAGCAGTTAAATACTTGTGTCGTTCTAACCTTTTCGTCTCATTTCTTCTTTGTTAACAACGAGGATGTACTCAAGGTCGCCTCCCATAGTGCCAGATGTCATGAAATGGGTGCCATAGTCATTGATGAATTTGGCATACATGCCATAATTATAGATATCTGGAAGGTCCCGCAGGGAGATGAGCGTGTCTTCATCCAAAATTATGTTGTTCCTTCTCATCTTGAAGCGGGCTGTCTGCACATTGGTCGCAATTCTAATGAATCCAACATTCTGCAAGTAGAGAGGAGCAGACAATCAATATTCATGGAGGGGCTGGGGGAGGGAAGGTCATTCCTAGTTCTCCAGCTTGCGGGGAAAAGCCTGAGTATGACTGTCAGTACGTGTTGCAGCCTTGAAAGCAGTCTAAATTTAAACAAAATCAGTGGTAATTTTATTTTTTTTTTTCAATGTCTCATTCATGTGTGGCTGTGTGAGGTGGAGGGCAGTGTAATGGTTTGGATGGTTTGCGGGTTTCTTTTTTATGTACTGAGCTCTGCAAGATTCTTCCTCATCCTCTATTTCTGCTATTTCCATTTTTGTTATTCCCTTTTGTATTTTGACAACCGTGATGAGGTTACAGGAGGATACCCTGTCTGGGAGGGGAGTATTTACTAACCTAACAACATACTGGATCTAACAACATATCCATGGCTCCTCTTCCAGACCAATCATTGCCTCAGACACAATGCCAGTGCAACAGAAACAGCCCCTTAAATGATTCCTCCCCTAACAGATCACTGTTCAGCTGCAAGTGAACCTAGACAAGTGCTCAGTAAATGCTCTAGTGGTGCCAAATTCAAGCAGGTTAAGGGCTTCTCAACTTGGAAAGCTATCAAAATAATTATTCTTTATAGTTTGCTATCAGCAACCAAGAAAGCAGAGGAGACAAGGCATAGTATATGTGGGAGATAGTAGCATTCATGTTATTAGATGGGGGAAGACAATGTCACAGCTAGACAAAAATGAGAAAAGCTTGTGAGAAATAAGCCTTATTATTGGAAGCTCTTATTTTCATCATGTTTCTTGAACCTCTCTTCAAGAATAGTGCATTTGCCTATCAGGCAGCTTATATTAATTAGAACAAGATATATTTTCTAGTGGAGATCATTCCCTGGGGAATGTTTTGATCAACATCTTGGTATTTCTTCCTCCCTCATTGCTATCTCTTGTGTTGTTTTTTTTTTTTATATGTGCTTAATGTAGCCATGAAACAGGATGGGGTGAGATGACATGTTGTGGTACTTGGTAATTCAATTTCATTTTTCCTCTCTGTTTTCTAAAATGTAATAAGAACAACAAACAGGATTGCTAAGGATCATATATTTGCAATTACGTGAACAAATTGATGTACAGTTGCAATGTGTTTAAAAACAAAAAAAAAGTAATTAATAAGCAGGCAGAAGTTACAACCATACCATGCAATGCACAGATAAGATGGCTGGCGTGTATGCATTGCTGATTTTTGTTTTTTTTACCTTTGCAGTATATTCTGTGAAATTCTTCAGGGATCCTTTGCCACGTGATAAGGTGAAGCCGAGGTTCAGTTTGAAATCTATTTTTCCAGGCCCAATCCCGATGGTGAAACCCCCTCCTTTGGATTTACTGCTTCTGAGGGCATCAATCAGATCTTTTGAATCATCGTAAAACTCAGAAGAGAATCCAGAATCAGCATAAGCCTAAAGTGGAAGGAGCACACATTAATTTCTCATGTGTTTTCCTTTTGAATCTTTCCCTATTTCTTCAAGGAGTTGGTCATACCTCTGTTGAATCCAGTGATGCTCCTGATGGTGTCAATGCTGCCTTATCAATGAGAGCAGAATAAAGAATGCAGCCACATGACATTTCATTTGGAAGTGTGTGGGAAATGGCACAGATAAATTCCAGATAAAGCCACACATCTTGCTTTATCAATCCACATGCAGGGGAATGGTTTGTGTTTAACCACCAGAAGAAATGTCATAACAGGCAAAGCTGCTAATGGTGTCTATCAAGCCAGCCTGAAACTTCCCATTATAAAAGCTCTCCTTCCGTATCCTTACAGCTCTACCAAATTCTGACTGTTTTGAGTGATTATCATTTTTTTTCCACTCCACTCCAGCCTGCTTCAGGAGGAATTTACTTAGGAAAAAGATTCTACAGCAGTAATCCAACCACTTATGAGGGCAAAGTTAGAAAATAAACATTGTTCTGCCCATGTTTTAGAGAAGTGACCTTTTCCATGACAGCTCTGCTTTGCTGGTGTGTGGAACTCAGCAGCCCTGCTGAGCTCAGGCTGTGCCACTTGCTGTCTCTGTAAAAAGCCAGGTAAATTACAAACACTGAAAAAAAGACATCTCCATGGGTTATGAGTGTCTTCCTAGACTCTGGTGTCTCTGAAGACAGCGTGCATATGGGGCTTGCAGATAAGGAGAGGAGTATTGCCCCTCTTTGAGCTGGTGGCTAGACTATCACCCTCAGAATTCAGACTAATGTTTCTTTTAGCCATTCCAAGGGCTTAAATGCTTCCAAGGGTTGAATTGCTAGCATTGTTCTGATTTTACGTATGGTCAGCTTCATCCCTGGAGAGGCAAGTTTCTTCTGCAAGCTCTACAGGTCATTAATCTGAGCAAAACTCAGAATTTAGAGAGGAAAAAAGAATTATCTTGGCTTTGTCTAGAGTAGAATAAAAGTGGGGATGCCTGGATGATAAAGCACATCAGTGCCTTGATGTGCTATAAAACTGCTCTTATATCACCAGTTGTCTATTGTCTTGGGGACAACTGGAGCAAGGTAATTTGAAAGACAGCAAGCATGCAGTGAGTTGTCTCCTCTGCTATAATGTGCATAGTATCTTTGCAACAAGTTTGGCTTTTTAGCTAAGGAAGCACTGCCAAATTTGACCACCCAAGTACTTACCAGGAATTGGTATATGTGGAAGTTGTAAGGCTTCAGGAAATACTTCTCATCATCTCCATAGTACAGGCGTTCACACGTGGCATCATACCTCAGTGCCCTCCACTCCCCATTGTAGACAGATTCACAGTGACCTCCCAGAAATTTAGGATCATATATGTACCTTCTCTCCTCTTGTGTTAGGATGTTGTATCTTTTGAAAGAAATACCATTCAGAAAGTGATCTTTAACTCCTGTGTTCTTTTTCCAGCAGAGTCTGTTGCTATTTCTGTCCTCACAATGCTACAGTGCCAGATGTATCCATTCTTACATCCAACTTGGACCTTAAGCAGCAACCATCCTCTGAGAGCTGAGTGTGCTCTCTCCTTCCCAAAGCTAACAGAAGGCAAACTTTGATTTCCAGACACTGGTTTGGACTCAGATGCTAGAGATAGAAGTCCATCCCTGTGAGTACAGTTGTGGAAGTCCCAAGTATTGGGCTTCTTCCAGTCCCAGTGAACCTTTCGAGATCTGGTGCATCTCAAAATATTTCCTGGCTTCACTGTAAGTGTTGCCTATCTTAATTTCATCTCCTGTCTTTAGCAGTGGTCTCATTATTACTATTATTATTATTATTTTTTCAATGGAATTAGTGCCCTCCCTGGACTTGGAGTCTCCTATTGGTTTGCTAAGTTAATCATTTCCTTACACCTCCCTGTTCCTGCTCCCAAGCCATCACAGTGCTGCCCTCTGGATTACTGGAATATTAAGTAACAGGTGGGGTTTCAGTGGCTCAAAATGAAAGCATTATTCAAACTAGACAGCAGCATTGCTCCTCACAACAGGGAATCATCTATAAAAACAAGACAGTGCTATTGCTTTTGTGCGTGTGTGTTCTGCAGAGGAAACAAATCAAAGCAGTATTGAATGCAGTGCTCAGTGCAAATTAACATAGGTCACGAAGAACTTTGGATGCCCTCATGCTCTGAGCATTTTTCTCTTTGACTCCAGAGCATCGGGTCAGACAGGTTGGAGAACTGCCCAATGAATGGCTATGCTGTCATATTGTAGCTCATGTTCTCCAAATGGTACTAAGTAGCATCATGCCTAAAACACAAGATCTATGGCAAAAGTGCCACAGTAGACAACTTGACTTAAAATTCATTCTAGATTGTTTTTTTCTTCATATTCTGTGACAAGAAAAAAAAAAAAAGAAAAAACATAATAGAATAAAACCTTTTCATGCGTACAAGTACTTTCTCCAGCTTATCATCATCTGGTGCTCAGGCTCTCTGCTCTGACTCTGTGCTTCAAAGTCCTAAATCCTGGAGTCAGATATTCTCTCTACAGATGGAAGTCTCTGCGGGATGCTGCATTTCCAATATCTACTGTTTCCTTTAGTATTTGCTCTTATGAACTGGTGAAAGCTGTAAGTTAGCTGGACCCAGAGAGTAGTAAAGAAGTGTGGCTTCAGGGTGGCTGAGGCAAGCTCTGGTAGTAAATTGGAGAAGAAAGGGAAAGAAAAGCTGTGCTGAATCCTCCAGCATCTGCACTGCTACCCATGGTAACAGAGGGCTGGTACTCCCCCTTGGCTTTTTCATGGCATGGTATCAGTCCATGGAGCACTGCTCTTATTAAGGACGGGCAATATAAAACAGCCCTGTTTTGATTGCTGAAGTTGCAGCTATTGATTAATTACTCACCCTCGTGCTGCTTTTTCAGACCCTGGGATGGGGAACAGATTGCCACAGGGGCGTTCAGCATCTTCATCTTCGCAGTCATTTTCATCAGACCCATCTCTGCAGTCTGTATTGCCATTGCACACAAGATGCCGTTTAATACAGCGACCTGGAGTGCACAGAGAATTGTTCTTCCACCTTCAGGAACCCTTTTTGCATTTGCTTTGGTATTTGGTATCTGTATTTCAGTGCCACAAGAAGCCATGCTGTGTGGTAAACACTGCACTCTTCCATCAGGAGCTTATAGCAATGATTACAGTTCAAGAATGAATGTTTGCAGGAGCTGCAGCTTGAAAGAGCTTTTGTTTTGGGGGTAGGAGAAAGCCTTGATGTGGCAATCATGGAGAGAAACGGTGCTGTGGATGAAGCAATGTTGACCTGCTTTAGCTGAGAGCTGGATGAGAGGGAATGGCTTTAAGCTGTGCCCTGGGAGGTTCGGGTTGGGTAAAAGGAAAAACTTCTCTGAAAGAGTGATCAGGCACTGGCACAGGCTGCCCAAGGAGGTGGTGGAGTCACTATCCCTGGAGGTGTTCAAGAACTGTGGGGATGTGACACTGAGAGATATGGTTAATGGGCAATGCTGTTAATAGTTGAAACGTAACATGGATGGACTTCTGCTCTGCCCACCCAAAACCTTTGGCTGGAGTCTGAGTCCAATTCACTCACCGCTCTCCTTGCACTGGAAGTCATTCCCACAGCTTGGAGCTCTGGCACAGCTCTTCCCAGCACTGCAGCTTTGCTCATCCCAGAGGGGCCCCTCGCAGCGCTGCCCTCCAAACATTGCTGGCTGCAGCAGCGTCCGGTGCCGGTGCTGCACAAGAGAGAAACATCTAATTTGTTTCCCTTGGATGGACGTAGATACAAATTACAGCACTGATAGTGAGATGTTTCTAACGGGTTATTAATGAGGATTGCTGCTTTTAAACCTGGGGGGGGGGGAGGGGGGTGAGAAGAGCCAAATCATTTCCAGATTAAAAGCACGGGAACAAAAATACAGGGATATGAACTCATTAGAAAGCAAAATTATGTTAGGTATTTGAAAATGAAGACTTGAATTATGAAGGCGTCTGGAATGATATCAGAATTTGAGAACAGGAACTGATGAATGAAGGCTGCTTTGAATTTCTTCTCGTTAGAATATTTTCATTAAGAACCAGGGGATCCATAATTAATTCTGAAATTGAAAAGGGAGAAAGTTTTGGCCAAATATTCTGGCCTGGTTCTTCCACCTTTTGCTTTGATTTGGTGTTCTGCAGCTCTGCTGCCTTAAATTTATTGCCAGTTTACACCAAAGCAAGAGCCTCTCTACGAGAGGAGCACCTCCATCATGTTTGGGTGAGTTTACAGATGCCTCAGGATGATGAATATGTATCATATGTATAATTAATGTGTGTACATCCTCAATATGTGCACATCAGAAGATAAATGCATACATTACAGTGGAGCCTTACTTTTCTCCCTTGGCAAGGGAAGCAATCAGTCCATTCCGACCACTGGCTCAGCTGACAGTTGACAGGAGCTGGAGAACTTGCATCTCTGATGCTTCTTCTAAAGAGAGGGAGAGGCAGTGTTCTGAGAGCTTTGAAGATGAGCTTTATGAATAAGATCTGTGTGTTCTTCTAATAGGAACTTATTTTGTATGAAATGAGAAGGCAGTCAGCCAGCTTCCTTCCTGAGAGAAGGCAACCAACCCTTTCCAATAGGCTTTTTCCTGAGGAGCACATCACAAAATCTGGGAATAGTTATTCTTGCCACCTTGATCTGAAATCTATTTATTTCACTTCTCTTTAACACAGTTCTGAACCTATGGTCAGTATTTTGGCAAACAGATTTGACCTCAGGCTCAGATGCTGTGTGTGGTCGTGGGAATGGCTGCACCAGTGGCACTGGTTGGCAAGGCACAAAGCTGTTTTAATCATGAGGATTTGTTGGCTGATGATTTCTAAAAGGAAATGCACACCTTCTGTATGTGGGGGAGGGGGAAATTAAAGGAAGATATAAAAATGGGAAATGGCAGAAGTAATGCATCACAATAGTCTTTGGATCATAGTCTCTGAGCATACACTGAATAGTGCTATATATAACAGCAAGAAAATATTTGCCTTGCCACCCAGCCCAGTCTTTATGATCTCTGTGTTTCCGCCTCAAATCCTACAACCTTTGTTTTTATAATGTGTTTCTTTGTCTTGAGAAGAAATCCCTGGTGTAATGATGTGGCTCTGAGTTTGCTGCAGCCTTCAAAGCATTTTGAGGGGTTATTCTGAGTCAAAACATTATTATCGTGATGTTAGTGATTAACTAATGAGCAGTCTGTTTCACTTACGAGACTGCAGCCCAAAGAGAAACACTGATAATTAGTGGAGCTGGGAGCACTTTGGAGATTAATCAGTGAGCCCACTAAATTGGCACCATGGTTAGGGTTAGGGATGATGGGTGATGGGAGGGATCAAACCTGCTGTGTCCTAAGGAGAACAGGGAGTCTGCAAGAAAGACCCTGTGCTGGAGATGGTGCTGCTGTGGATGCCTTCTGGCTCTGTCAGGAGGATTTGTGGGCTGTGTTCTTCAGCACTTCACCAAGTGCTTAATTGGTTCACCTTCGATCGGATTTTACATTTACCTCTTCATTATTCTGCCTTGTTTGATAAGTTCATCAAACATCAAAAATCTCGTCTTTGTTCATTTTCAGGAAGGATTATCAGAATAAGCCTTCATAATTAAGTGTATCACTACCATGATTTTCTTTCCTTTCTGCCTTCTCCTTGTCTTCACGTTCCAATTATCACTGATACCCTTTTTGATCCTTCTAAATCATATTTGCCTTTAGAACAAGCCTGAAATTAATAGCTGTAGGAAAAAAAAAATAGTTCTGCCATCATAACACTGTAGCTTTAGGAAAAGTAACTTGTTTACTCTCTTCCTTCAAAGCCCAAGTGACGTTCCTATAGGTTAATTATTGTTCAGAGGAAAAAATAGAGAAACAGGAATCTGGCTTGGATTGGAATCGGGTCAAATGCAAAATAATTACTGTGAGGAAAGTTATGAAAAATATTCCCTTGTAAACTTTCCTGTAAAAAAAAAAAAAAAAAAAAAAAAAAAAAGGAATTCAATCCAAGTGACCAAAAATGATACGGCGACTTCAGTAAGAAAGTTTAAAGAAGGCTTAATTGTCATGTGTGAAAGAAAAACCATTGTGCAGACAGTACATATAAGAAGGAATTGCGATGCTGAGCTTGTGCATGGAAAGCAGCCAATATGTATATATTTTTTTTCTTTTCCTGGTAGCTGTTTACAGAGAGAGCAGTGTGCACATGCCTCAAGTCGGGGCGGAATTGATGGGCTGACTGACTGGCCCCTAATTCCTGTATGCAAAGCTGGATGGAAGCAAGCTTACCTCTGGGCAGGCACCGCCGCCGGCTCCCCGCATGCTGCAGCCGTGGCCCAACGTGATGTTATAGACAGAGAGCATATAGTGAGAATCAAGGGAGAAACCTGGCACAGGCTCCACCACATTGTTTTTCCATATGTAAATGTTTGCTTTAAATTAGCTGCAAGCAAATTCTTGAGGCTTCAGGAGTCTGTGGGGTTGGTGCTGCCGGAAAAAGCCTGGAGCCCATCGAGCTCTGAAATATGTTGGTAAATCATTGACAATGACACTGACCAAATTGCAGAGAATTGGAACATATCCCAGGGGCCTTTCCCCTTTTGGAAATACCCAATTTTACGATAAGGTAATATAGAGAACTGTCTGACTGTTTCCACATGACAGCCAGCGAAGCCCTACTGGTGCAGCAGTGTTTGCTGTTCAGCCCATGCCCTTCAGTTCACTTGAAGGAGGAAACTCATTTCCAGGTTTGGTTCATCTACTCTGCCCAGGGAGAGGTTTTTCAGCATGGGGAATTGAAGGTTAATTCAGAATTATGTTATCAGTAGCATATATATTTGGATATATTTGTCTATAGAGCTTTTGCCTATTGTCATCCCCATAATGTATCATCTCATGTCCAAAGCTGATGGGGAGTTATCATAGAATCATAGAATGGCCTGGGTTAAGAAGGAGCATAAAGATTCTTCTCAGTTTAAATCCCCCCTGCTACGTGCAGGGTCACCAACCAGCAGACCAGGCTGCCCAGAGCCACATCCAGCCTGGGCTTGAATGCCTCCAGGGATGGGGCATCCACAGCCTCCTTGGGCAACCTGTTCCAGTGCCCTGCCACCCTCTGGGTGAAAAGCTTCCTCCTAATATCCAACTTAAACCTCCGCTGTCTCAGTTTAAAACCATTCCCCCTTGTCCTATCGCTATCCGCCTGGATCAGAACAGCTTTTGGATGTTCTTATACAGGTACTGCAGCAGAAGAGCCTAAATTTTTTTTTAAAGTGATCTGGGACAAGAGAGATGTTCCCTAAATCTGAAATATGTCCTCTCCCAATTGCTGCGTGATCCCATCTGTCAACTAATGCTTGTGGCTGGTTGGTGTCTCAGCACAGGACTGGTGGATGTGTGTGTGCACAGGTATAAGACAGTAACACCACACGAAGCAGGAACACTGTGGGTTACTCATTATTAAGAAAACTGTCATAAGATAAGAATATTTGGCTTTTATGTGCCAGAAGAAATTAAAAATAGCCATTGGAAGGCCTCTTGGTCATACTGTAGCCCAAGTTGCCCCATACCTGTTGCCTCAAGGTTGCACATAGCTTTTAAAATTATCCTCTGAGGACTGACTAGGCAGGCACAAAAAATGCACAAGAAATCTGTAACGTTATTATATATTAATAAAAATTAAAGTTTTCTATGGAGGCTTTAGTGTTTGAACAAGCACCCATATCTCCCTGCTTTTCTTTTGCTAAAGTAGGCTGAGGTACTTCATACATAAATGAAGTGTTCCCAGCAGATGATTGCAAGCTTTAACTTCAATAAATTTGAGAGAAAGTGTAATTATTGTAGGAGAATCTGGTCTTGAGCTATTATAGCTATTAAGCAGACAGTGAATTGTCTTCTGCCCACAGAAGGCTGGGAGAGAAGTGTCACTCTGTGTATTTCCCAAATTAATTGCAAAGCACATTTCAATAGCTGGCATTGTAAATCATCAAAATAAAAGGACCTCTTACCGTGTTATTTTAATATAATTAGAGCTCAGAATGGTCCTGGGGCTTGTCTTCACTAAACAAGAAGAAATGTAGCACATGGGTAAACTGTGTAGTCAACTGAAATGTGAATTGCCTTTTTGTGACCTTCAAGAGTATGTTAATGTAATCCTTACCTGCTAATGTGCTTCTGATGAGTTCAGAAATTCTTTGTCCTTTCTCTGCCTACACAAGAAGAACTCGAATAAAGTTTTAGTCTTTATATCAAACCTAAATTGCTTTTGCTGGGAGAAAGGCAGGGGATTACAACTGGCTGATGTGTGCCCCACTACTGTCTCCTTGTTCTACATTGCATGCTTTTGTGTCACTTGGACAGCAGGACAGGGCAAGGATTTAGCAGTGCTTACAAAGGTCAGGTGGAGTTGGACCCCACTGTCCACTCTGTGCATCATTATCCATCCTGGCATTGGTCCGATCTGTCTTCCTTCCAAATTTCTGCCATCCTTCAATACAGTGGGCTGACTTGCACTATCAAACTCCTCCTCAGCACCCAGCAGGGCTGTTGGAGCGTTGTATCTTTTCTGATACTGGCACCAGAAATTGGCCATATATATATAAAGTTATCTGTGGACTGTCTCCCAGATAAAATGCCAGGCTGCTTTGTGCAAGCAGGCACAGCAACAATTCCTCACTGGTGAGTGAGGTCGTTGGAGGGGAGGCACTGGAGAGATTTGAGCTGCAAACAATGCAGTCCACATTAGAGGTGGAATTAAAGAACCATTCTCAAAGGTGTTGTGTTCTAAAAACTATATATATATATATAAATTATAGTTCCATTTATAACATTATGAATTCAGCTTGTTTATAATGCATGTTGGATTCCTGTCTCTGTGCCTGGATTAACACTCGAAACCTCTGGCTTGCAGTGCTGGAGGTGCTGTTGATAGCTGCTCCATCACATTCTGGAGGATGGGAAATGGGGGGTGGCAGCAGGCTGGGACCTGCAGCACTGCAAGGGGAGTCAAAGGCAGGGTGAGCATGGCATCAGGCACTTCATGGCCATTCCTGTTGCTGCAGAAGGACTCGGCTACCAACATCTCCTCAGAAGACAAGCAACTCCTCATTTAAAATCCTCATGCAAGGAAAATCAGGGCCACATGAGCCCAGTATGTAGCTGGACATGCTGCCACACATCCCATGCCCAGGATGCAGGAATGCATCATTTCATTGCCAAACGCAGCACAGGACTTTGATCCACTTCAGTGTATTAACTGCAGCAAGGGGAGTTAATTTCTGCCTGCAAAATGCATTGATCTGCTAAACAGCATCTGAGCAGCGCTTCTGGTGGTGTGTCTGTTTGCATGAGTCTGGCTCTGAGGCAGTTATGTTACAAGAATTTTGTTGTTCAGTGATTTAGCCTTCTAATACGCAACATTTTAGTTTTAGTATATCCATACAATCACAGAATATTCTCATTTGGAAGGTGCCCACTCAGATCTGCTGAGTGGGAGACAGATACTCAGAAGCATTAACCTTTTCTATGCCAATATTCTATTTTTTGTAGGGCATTATTCATGCAATACTGTAAGTTCAAATAGGGTTGGTGACCATCTAATGATAGAGTCTTGCTCTATATTGTGGTGGGTGCCCCATCCCTGGAGACACCCAGTTGCTCAGGCTGGATGGGCTCTGAGCAACTGATGGAGCTGTGGGTGTCCCTGTTCAGTGCAGGGCAGTTGAACTAGATGGCCTTTAAGGGTCCTTGCAACTCAGTTCTATGATTCTGTCCTTTTCTGCACACTGTGCCCACGATGCTGTACTCAGTTCCCTACTGTCATGCTTTAGGAGATGTGGCTTTCATCTGCCACGTGCTGTTTGCTTTCATGGTTCCCTAGGCATGAGTGTGAAGCAGCTTTTCTTTTGGAGTTAAGGTCATTTTGTTTGTTTATTTGTTTGTTTTTAATACAGAGATTGTTGCAAGGTGGAGAGGTTACAGAGATGTTCAGTAAGGTGAGATCAAGAGATTGGGCCCTGGGATTGGAGCTTTGCCCTTGCAAGCCCTGCCGTTTCACACTGACTTTGGACTGGTGGTGAGGCAGTGCTTTGAGAGAGGCCACCAGTGCTCTGTGTCACTGTGTGCTGGTGGAACAGGCATCCCAGTTACTGACCCAATGGCTGTGAGATGTGTAGGAATGGTCCTTTTAAGGACCAGATGGCCATTGTAGCCCCATTGCTAGCACTCATGGCTCTCAGAGGGTCTGGAGCAGCCAGCACAAGAGGCCTTAAACACAGGGACAAGTCTTTGACTTACAGCACTTAAAAAGAAGCATGCACTGAAGTGTTTGTGGGATTGGAGACAACTGTGTAACTTGGGTGGATAAAAACCCCGGAACATGAGAATACATTTAAATGCACTTTCTTGACTGTTATAGGTGAGCTTGACACAGAACTTGAGAATTAGCCCCACAAGCACATATGTTGGCCTCACTGGAGCTGCATTTCATCCTGTCCCAGAAAAGAAAGTGAACACAGGGCTTGATAATACTGTATTTTCTTCGGTTTCTCATTGATTGCTGTGATGGAGGCACCAGCGGTCCTCTCTCCCCCTCTGCTGGAGCCCTGCGATAGCTGCTCCTGGCAGCAGGGCTGAGATGTGTGGGGAAGGCTTCCGGGCACAGAATAAGGGCAAATCAGAACCGAAATACCTTTGTGAAATCAAGAAGTAAAAAAAAAAAAAGGGATTGGCGCAGACCTGTATAATGCACCTATAACGTATAGTGAGTTCTATTGGTCACAAAGGAAAAGAAAGAAGGAGAAATGCATTTATTTGTTGACTGCTGAGCTCTCATTCTGTGGACCGTTGTCTAAGATGCTAATTGATTTACTGCAAAATGGAAATCCAAACCATAAAATTCTGATTTTAAAAAATATGACTTTAAGTTCCTTCTCCTGGAAGATGCTCCAGTTAGGCAGTGTTTGGCTGCAGGAAGAGATGTGGTAGGAGAGGAAGGGCTATCCAACAGATTCATTGCATTTCTTCTGGTATCCCGGCAGGAATTAGTCCTGTTTTGCTGTCTCCAGATGTCTCTGCCTGGTTTCTCTATGCAAGCCCTGTCCTTTTCCCCAAGACACTGGCTCTGAAGTCACAACCTCCTCATTCCCTAGCACTGCTTTAATTTAGGGCCCCCATTGGGCAGCTCATAAATCCTCCCCAGCTTGCTGTGCACAAAGTCACCATTCATTCTAAGCACTCTGTGACACCAAGTTGGGCCAGGGGGACTTCCCTGCCAGCACACTGCTCTGTGGGATCCCTCTTTCTTCCTGAGACTACCATGCAGCAGCAGAGCTTTTCATGTGGAGTAAGCAAGACTCACTCTTTGAGTCATGTCTCCAATGACCAAGTATTTATTATTTTTATATTTATATTTATTTATTTTTCCCCACTTCTCAGCAAAAAAAGGGCAGTGAGGCACTGGCACAGGTTGTGCAGAGAGGTGATGGGAGAAACCCAAGGTCAGGCTGGATGGGAATCTGACACTTGATGGAGCTGTGGGTGTCCCTGTTCAGTGCAGGGGCATGGGACCAGATGGCCTTTAAGAGTCCCTTCCACCTCAAACCATTCTATGATTCTGTATTTGGTCAGTTTGCAAGAGATGAAGTCGAGAGCTACGTGCGATCCTGCTGAGTGTTCCTTTCCAGCGCTGGAGACAAAGGTGAAACCGAAAGCTGGACTTCAAACTGCCCAACCCACTGTTTGCAGAATGCAAAGTTTCGCTCAGCTGGAGGGCTGATGAGATGAGTGGGAAGGGCTGAGCAGCAGCCCAGCCCAGGTGAGGCTCTTCCCACACTGGGGGCAGAGTCGAGGTCCAGGTGTGAGTGTTCAGGCTCACTGGGCTGCAGAAGGGTGGCGAATGGGTGATGCCGGTGCTGGGCGGTGGGGCCATGGATGTGGTGAGTATAGAGTTGCTCCCTTTGCCCCTTCCACAGCAGAGGGTGAGCCACAAGGAGTGCTTGCTGCTCTGTTTCCCACCGTTAATGTGTAGAGTTCCGGCTTGTGCCTCCGTCATCAGATTAGGTGGGTGTTCCCAATGCTGTGTCTGCTCTCTGTGAGACCGCGCAGGGATGTTTTCCTTCCCCAAAGCAGGGTGCCGAGGGGCTCCTGGTGCTGCTTTTAGTTTTCCAGTTGTGCTCTGAGATGAGCTACAGTTGCTTCATCTTAGTGTATTGGAATGTAGAGGTAGGTTATAATTTTTGCAATTGTTTGGAAGTCAGGGAGTTAATGAACAGTCAGTGCCTGCAGCGTGGGCATGGCTCCAGGTGTGTGGGCAGAGGGCAGTGCTGGTTATACATCGATTCATGGGAGCACCCCTAGTGATGGAGACAGGGGGGATGAAGGTAGCATGGGGGCAAGCAGCCTTCCTCTTTGCTGCCCCACATCTCACAGGGTCCCTCTACCTGGGTCCGTTGTTTTTATGAAAGGAGAAAACCCAGAGCTCTTTTGGTCAGTCCTTGTGTCAGCACAGAGCTTCAACTTCTGCTCCTTCAGAAAAATGTCCTTATTGAAACCCTAAGCTGGGCTTTATTCTGCTTCCTAGAATGATATTAATGCTAGAAGATTGTTTTATTTATAGGGAGAAAATATGGAAAGTTTAGCTGTCCCCTGACTCTGTAATGCTCAGTGCTTTCCGGCCAGGAAAAGTTTGTTTCCTTTTTGTTCTCTCCCTCTCTCAATTTGCATGCTCCTTTGCCAAGTGTGTTATTATTCCTGGTGAATTATTTGGCCAGATGTAGCAGTAATGCATACTGTGAGCCCTCTAATTTATTATCAGATTCTCCTCGCTTTGCCCACTTCTCTCATCCAAACTGTACAACTCCTCCCATGGCTGGAAAGCACTCTGCAGAGACTTAGAAAACTCACTGCACCTCAGCTATGTGCAGAAATTGGGGATTGTAGGATCATGGAATGGCTTGGGTTGAAAGGGATCTCAGAGGTCATCCAGCCCCAACCACCCTGCTGTGGCTTGGTTGTCACATCAGATTAGGCTGCCCGTGGTCTCATCCAGCCTGGCTTTGGGCACCTTCAGGGATGGGGCACCCATAGGAATGCTGTAGGATGCATCAAGAAGTGATAGCTCTCCCTTTAACTAGCTGCTACGTGGAGGAAAGAGGAATAACAAGTCGATAGAGGAAGGGGAACCTTGTTGCAATGAGTGCTTGGCCAAAAATCCCATTTTACAAGTTCTCTCGCTCACAGTGCTGGGCACAGGCACGTGGGTACTTTTTCCTTTCTGTTTTCTCTGTCTCCAAGGGCACGAGTGTGGAACTACATGTTACAGGAACAAAAGAAAACTGGTGAGGGGAGGTAAACAGCGCTGAACTCTTCAACTGTGGCTCGAGCATGTGCAGAAGCTCAGTGCTATTGCATTAGGGCACACCACGCCGCTTTATTTCCTGTCTGGAGTTGCTGCAGAGATCTGGTGCACGTGGGGTTTGTTTTAAACCCTCTTCATCCTCCCTGAGCCTCTGAAAGCTCCCATTCCCCTTGGGCTCTCTGCTGTGTTATGTCTAAGCAGCTCACGTGGCATCGCGTTGCTGACCGCTAATATGAAATATAATTGGAGCAATTCAGCCCGCTCCCTTTCCCCCCCCACCAAGGGCTGGCTCTTTACATCATGCACTGCCCTGTGAAAGTAATAAAGTTAGTGAAAGGGGTCATTCAAGAGAAATTGTCAGTGTTTAATAAATCGCGCAATTAAATGCAATAAAACCTCAGTATTCTATTCATCTGTTCTGCCTTAACACTTAAGGCTGGGGCTTTTTTCAGAATAACGAAGTTCTGTCCTAGATAATTTTTTCCAATTTCCTCATTGGACAGGCCCTCACGAAGCCCTGCAGTCCTCCGTGCTGAACTAAGCTGCTGGAGTAGTGCACCTAATGTAATCATGGCATATAAAAAGTTATAGAGCAGTTGAAGGGCTTAAGTAGCTCATAAATTGTTCTTCATATTTTCTCCTTAGTTCAGTTTGTGGCTGGGTTTAAGCCACAGAATTGCAGGCAAAACCCACGGACTCCTTCCTGTAGAATGGGACAGCTGAAAGGAGGTTGTAGAGAGGTGGGGGTCTGCCTCTGCTCCTAGGTAACAGTGATAGGAAGAGCGGTGATGGCCTCAAGTTGCATGAGAGGTGGTTCAGGTTGAATCATAGGAAAAATGTATTCTCTAAAAGAGCACAGGCTGCCCAGAGTGGTGGTGGGGTCACCGTCACTGGGGGTATTCAAGAAACATGGGGATGTGGCACAGAGAGAGACAGTCAATGGGCGTGGTGGTGCGGGTTGGGTTTGGGGATTTTGGGGGTCCTTTCCAACATCAATGATTCTATGTTTGGGAAGAAGGGTGGGAGAAAATGCCTGTTACAGGCCATTTCAAAAGGTAGTGTCGTTGGTTAGTTACCTTATTTCAAAATCATGTATGGCTGTGGAATTGGTGACTGAGAGAAGAATTGAGTGCCTTACCCCATGCTCATCACTGTGAGCAGAATACGTAGCCTCTTTTTCTCTGAAACAATCATGCAAATTGCCTGTTGCTACTCTATGAGCATCTGCTTTGTGCTTTCCTGTCTTTCCCTGCCCAGGAAGGTGTGACTGATTTCAGAGCCCTCCGAGCCAAATTTCAGCACGACTCCAGCCTTGCCACCAAGCCAGTGCAGCCCTGCCAGAAGCCCTGCCCCAGATTGGAGTCCAGAGGTGATGGCGTGCCCAACAGTAAGGCAGATGTGCTGGTACCCAGACCCCACAGTGAACCTCCCTGTCCTGCATCCCAGCCTTCTGCCATTGCCCAGAGGGCCAAGATGGGCCACACAGATCCAGAGGAGCACAATGAAGAGCACAAAGGAAACATCTCGATGAAAGGGCTGAGCTCTCCCAAAAGCAGTTCTCCAAAGTATCCAGTGTCCTATTGCACAGAGCAGCAAGCATCAGTCCAAGCTGGCCCTGAGGATGCTCCGCTCCTGAACTCTTTCCACCATGCACTACGGATGTGGCAGAACGCTTTATCTGGTGGTGAGAAAGCAAGTACTGAACTGCCAGCCATGCGGCCAATGAACCTCTATGTGCAGCCCAGACCAGGGCAGAGGGTGCTGCGTGCTCCTGCCACATCAAACGGCAGCAAGGTGCCTCCAGTTAGCAGCTATCCTACACCAGCCCCACCTGCTCAGGGGCTGGCTTCTGCCCAGGCAGCCCAGGGAGATGGGAAAGCTGCTGGGAGCTCTGCAGCAACTACATTGCAATCTCAATGCCAGAAAGGTAAAGTTAGCTATAATTTTTATAAATTATATGTATGTGTATATATATATACAGACAGATATAAGCATGTACAGGTGGTCAGAAACTCAACAGGTGGAACTGAAGGCTAGTAGAAGTTGGAACCCTCAAAGTGCATGCTGAACTAGCCCATGGGAATGCTCCTGTTCTTCTCTGAGGTCCCAGAGATAAGGGAAGGTTACTGGACTCTCCTGCTTTTTTCTTTTTCAAAACCTTGCACTAAGAAATTGTTCAAATTCTGAGAGTAGAATGAAGGCTGAGAAAAGGGAACATCTGTACAATCATAGAGTTGTTAAGGTTGGAGAAGAACTCTAAGCACGAGGCCCAACCTGTCCCCACCGTGCCCACTGACCTCGTCCCTCACTGCTGCATCTCCATGGCTCTTGAACACCTCCACAGATGGTGACTTCACCAATTCTCCAGGTTGAATCTGTAAAAATCTGCAGAAGTGGCCGTTTATCTTTGCTCTTACATTGCAGTAGAATGGTAGGAGCCCTGTTGTGTAATGTGAGTGTGACCTTGGGATGAAGCAGTGATGGTGAGAGACGTTTATGCAACAGCTAGCAGCAATGCAAGGAGGGGTAATGACTGCCTGTGTTTTTTCTTTGGAGCAGAGTCAAAGCCTCCCCACAGTCAGCTGGGAGCAGGGACGCAGCTGGACAGCCCAGGCAGCAAACTACCCAAGAGAAGACCTCTTCCTTCAGCTGCATCCCTAGGTCCTGCTCCTCGGAAGCCCTTGAGACCCCCAAAGGTTGATCTCAGCTCTTTCCGAAGCATGGTACCTTCAGTTCACAGACAAAATGAAACAAGTAAGAGATAACATAGAATCACAAAGGTTGGAAAAGACCTTTCAGATCACCAAGTCTAAACCTAACCCACCTCACCATGTCCACTCTGTCCCCCAGTGCCACATCCCCACAGTTCTTGAACACTTCCAGGGATGGTGACCTTGCCACTCCTTAGGCAACCTACACCCATGCATCACTGCTCTTTAGAGAAGAAATTTTTTCCTATTATGCAACCTGAACCTCCTCTGATGCAGCTTGAGGCTATTTCCAGTCATCCTATTGCTGTTACCTGAAAGCAGAGACTGATCTCCACCTTGCTACAACTTCCTTTCAGGGACTCGTAGGGAGCCATAAGGTCTTTTTCTATTATTTTCAGCTGAGTGGGGGTAAAATAAATTAAAATATGTGGTTTATTGATATCTATTAGGCAAGTGGAAATATGAGGCTGTTATTCATTTCTCAAATCTTCCTCAGACGTGAAAGAGAGCCCATCAGTTTCAATGAAACTGGTTTTTGCCCCTGATTTGGGGAAAGGATCTAGTGTTCTGTGCTGGCTGGCTCACTCCATGCAGCTCTCCCCCAGCTGCAACTCCAACGTGCTGTGAACACCTTGTCGCTAGCCGTCACACTGCAGCACACTGATCTTATCACCCCATCTCATTGCAAAATGCCTGCACACAGCTGTGGGAAGGCACAATAAAATCAGTAGAAACCGGTCTGCTAATCCCCTGCTTGTGTTTTTAAATACAACTGAGGGCAACATCATTAAGTGTTCCAACAACAAGTGATGCGAAGCTTCAGTTTCCCATAATAAAACCCTATTGATGTAGGGTAAAGGAATATTTTGGCCTGCTTATTAAGCAATTGAGTGCTGTTTCTTTATAGATAGAGGCTTAATCACAGCCAGATCTTCAGGCACAAATTTGCTGAATTCAAAGGGAGCTGTGTTTCTATGATGGGCTCAGCTAAAACGTCATTGGCTTTCCTGTGGCTGTGCTCACTGATCTGTGCTGAGCTTAGTAAAAATTAAAGGAAAAGAAAGGGGTTCTCACTGCAACTCTTTTCTAATGTACCTACCTTTTCTAAATGTGTAAACAGCACGGAGGGAAGTAGTTATTTCAGTGCCACCATTTGCATGCCCTATTGATATTGCTCACTTATTGATCTCTGGAAGACCTGAAGTTGTTGCCTGGAAACGTGAAATAATGCCATTAGCACAGCCACATCCCCTGGCAATCCCATTTCATGCCTGTCCCTGTGTGCTGCCTCGAGGAAAGGCCTCTCTGTTTCTGCAGGAGAGCAGTGTTGCCTCCGAGCACTAATCCTCCTTGTGTTTGTGTGCAGCTGCTGAGGAAGAGGATTACCTGATTCCCGAAAGGTGAGTGTATGGTGAGCATCCCCACCCCCTGGTGCTGCTGCAGTTTGCATTATGGCTCTGGTTTATCATAGGGTGCTCCTGGTTCTGTCCCAAAAGAAGCTCTGGTTCATAGGGAAGTATTCATGTTCCCATCGAATGCATGAATTTACTGTGAAAATGAGAAGTGGAGTGGCTGAACCGGAGCAACAAGTGCCAGATTCTTCAAACACCTTTGGTGTTTTCAGAACAAGGGGAAATAGTTTTAAGTTAAAGGAGTGAAGATTTAGGTTGGATGTCAAAGGGAACTTTTTTATTATGGGAGTAGTGAAGTTCTGGAACAGGCTACCCAGAAAGGTTGTGGATGCCCCATCCCTGGAGGTGTTCAAGGCCAGGTTGGATGGAGCCCTGGGCAGCCTGGTCTCAAATGTGGAGGTTGGTGGCCCTGCCTGTAGAGAGGGAAGGGGGGTTGGTGCTTTGTGATCCTTGATATCCTTTCCAACCTGGGCCATTCTTTGGTTCCCAAGCAATGAGTTATTTTGGATAACAGCACATGAAGTTGTGCACTTCAATCAGGGGATGTCCCCACCAGCCCTGACCTACATTGTGACTAACTTTCAGTCTTTGCTTTTCAAGGGAGATCTGGTCAAAAAATAACCAGCCCTCTAGCTGTCATGCACCACAAGGAAGCTGTCCCAGTAATACATTACATCAAGATTAGCTATCTAGCTTGGGTACTTGTGATACGGTCTTTACAATAGGTCACTTGTTAAATATTAACCAGGTACGTGGTTTAATTGCATAGCAGCAAAATAATGGGAACAGTTCTCATCCCTGAAGCCCAGAAGTGGGAGCCTCACCTGTAATAAAATCCCACTGAGACTCTGGTGCTGCCTCCTGGGCCAGCTGGTCCCAGGCTCCTTTCCCACGTTTGGGGATAAACACTGCTGTCAGCAATGCCAGGCAGGGACCCACCACCCCACTCAATGCAGCCCAGCTGTATTATGGGTCTGATGGAGGGCCAGGGTACCTATAAACATTGGTCTGATCTTCAGCCAAGCTGCTGGGGAACTATTCTGCCTCAGGGCTGGGATATTTATCTTTGCACCCATTCTAGAATGGTGCTAATTTGAATTGCCACAAGAGGGAAGTGGGAAAAAGGAAACTGGAGGGACGTGGGCTGGGGAGACAATGTTGAGTCTGTGTGGTGTATGCCATATTGGCATGCAGTCTGTCATTGGCTTTGGACAAGGATCTTTTATTTACTCTCTGATATCTGTTTTTTTCCTGCCTAAGCAAGAAACATCCTGCTGAACAACGCAACTGGGTTGCTATTTATTTTGAAGTAGCTGCAAGAGGTTTGAAAGATGCGGCACTCAGATTTCCTTGGGCTTTTTCTTCCCTTTCAACCTGAGGGATCGCTGTCGGCAGAAGACCATAATCCCAATGCAAAGTCCCCTGATGTGTTTTGAGCCCTATAACTACACCCCGTATTCATCAAGGAGAAGCAGTGCAGGGTCACAGGGAGGCTCAGCTGAGCCTTGCATTGATGCAGGTCTCCCTTCCCTCTGAGGAATTCCTGATTTCACTTTGCTGTTTTGTGGGCTCAGTATCAAAGCACTTGAAGTTCTCGTCCTTAAGATGAATAAATTTTTTTAGACTACTGAAAGGGCCAGGAAAAAAAAAAGAAACACCAACCCTGTTCTCTCTTTTATCTTGTCCTCTCAGCACTCAACGTGAAGAGCAGCATAATTACGAGAAAACCTTGATGTACCTGAATCAGTCTGAGGACACCACAACCTTGTGTGTCATTGAAGGTACTCTGCAATACAAGACTTTTAAAGGAATTACATGCTGTCTGGGCCACAGCCTTAAAAAGGGGAATAACATAGCTGCTTCGGCTTGGGAAAGCAGTTGAATGTTGGTTTGGGTGAGAAAAAATGACTGTCTGTATCGTCCCTTGGCTTGTGGACAGAGGGACTGGGGTACTGATCAAAAATTAATTTGGATTTTGGTTATGAGATGATTCTAGTATGGTAAAATTGCCATGAGGAGAATTAGTAAGGTATTGCCTATGGGGAAGAGAAAGTAGAGAAGACAATGAAGCAGACCTCAATTTTTTCTTGGGAATGGGTATTTTTACCATAAGGATCACTTCCATCTCCACCACTACTTTCTCCCAGTATAATAATCTCTATCAGGATTGCCACTGTTCTATCTTCCACTTTTTAAAAAAATCTTCTGCTTTTGGAGGTTGTTAGCTTTTGCCCTGTTCATTGTTTTAATCTACCATCAGAATGGCAGAAAAGCAGCCTCCTTGGGGAAACTCACCATAGCCCTTTTGGATTTGCCTCGAGGGCTATGAAAACTGTGGCTAGCCAAAATTGTTGCTTGCAATCCTCTGAACATAAGCCAAAGCTAAATAGCAAATTCAGGGACCATGGTTGGAGGGACCTTGTGAATCTGTGCCTGGATGCTGAGCATGGAATAAATCTGGGGTTTGCAACATGAAATACAGTGAGGTGCAGTCAATTAAAAACTAATACCTGTTCACAATTATCTTTTTTAGTACCTAAGGTAGAACCTCAAGAACACAAGGTGAGTCTCTTCACAGCCTGTTTTGGCATTCTAGGCTTGAGTATATTGTATGTACCTTCCTCAAAACTTTTGCTATTTGTATTTCCTCTATGCTGAGTGTTTCTGTATGTGTGCTGTCTGTGAAGACTCTCAAAGAATAAATAAGAAATTGCAGAGGGGACATGAAGATTAATGAGGTTTCCAAACACAGCTGGGGAGAGAGTCAGTCCCCTTGACTTCCTCTGCAAAAGTGTCAGGAAGTGGTAAAGTCATCTGGACCTTGGTGGCAGACCAAGTAATTGTCAAGCACTGATATCAAGATCATAAATTTTGAGGGCAAAATCCACTGAATTTGCTCTGGAAGCTCCTGCCAAAGTCGAGCTGGTGCTGGTAATCCCTCTGTGAAGGCATAAAAGCAATGTTGAGCTTCCTGATCATGGAAGTGCACTTTGAGCTTTGGCTCATAAGTGAGGGCAACGTCTGTGGGGACAACCATATGGACTCTGGTCCTCTGCTGCATGGATGGCTTACTGCAAACTGCAGCTTGACTCTTCTCATGTTACCCTAGCTACAAAACCAGTGGTAGTGGAGATGTCCTGCAGGATGATGCATTGCACAGGGCAGGAATTGTCTCCAGGGAAGCCCTGTGTGGCTGCACAGCTCACAGTGAGGAAGTGGGCTGAGAGAGCATCACCTCATGCAGGAAGATGATTGGGTGTTGGTTCTGGTTCTACTGAAAGGGGAAAAAACTGCTCTTTGGAAAATGTCGAACTCCACTTTCAAATGCTGACATGCAAAGCAATCAATTTGTCTAGGAAGCAGCACAGGCTTCCAAATTCACTTATCTATGCATGATTTGCAGAGAGGTTCTGTGGCTCATCTGTAGCCTTGTTTTACGGAAGGTTGGAAAATCTTTATTTTCAAGTAATAAAAGCCTCTCCCTCCTCTTCTGTAAGCTCTCCAACCTGTAATTGCTTTCAGCCTCATCCCTTGCACCGCTACACTATTTCCATGCAGTTTGTCAACATGTATATCCTCTGTCTTGTAGAGTAGAGGAAACATCCTTTCCTGATGGCTGTTCCAAATGTAAAAGCTTTATGAGCTTTCTGAAGAAATATTTCTTTAAATAGTAAATGACAGTTTAGGTACCATGTAGAAGCTTGACTTGCCACAAAAAGCACAGGGGCTGAAGACTTTCCTCTTCTTTATTCTAGAAACAGAAGAATTTTCTCTTTGGTGAATCCAGGTAATTTCCTTTTCTTTCTCCTAAACTGCTTCTAACCCACAGCTAATCCAGGTTGAAGTTGGGATATTGTAACACCTGGGAAACAGATTGAAGTTTCAGTGCAATTTAGTGACCAGGAAAAGGATAAATTATCGTGTCCTTTGGTGTCAGCACTCAAGACTTCTTAGCTTGTTTTCATTCTAAAACGTGTCTGGAGGAAGCTGAGTCTCTTTCCTCTGGCAAAAAAATAAAAAGATAAAAAAATCATATTGTCTTTTCATACTGAAACCTGAACTTTAAGAAGGGAGAGGTATGGAGCTCTCAGAATGGGAAACACAGTTCTAGCTCTGAAGCTGTAAGGCAAGGTCCACATCAAATGTCACCCTACCAGTGACCTATTTCAGACTCCTTGTGGTGTTAATTATTGACACTGGTTGAAAGCTGCATCGCTGGTGGGACTTGAAGAAGCATGGGATAAAAGGGGGTTTTCCCATTTCAGTGGGAATCATTAAGATGCTGTGGGGAGAAAGATGTCACGTTCTGGTTCTCTTAATATGTATTCTAAATCACATGTAGCATGGCAGGAGGCAAGTCTTGAGAGCCAGGTATCACTGTGGGCACATGGATCTAGCTTGTCCAATGGTGCTACGAGAGAACAGTCATCTCAGCTTGTCTCTTCTTACAAGAGTGATTGCTATTACCCTGAATAACCACTGGCCAAATCCAAAACTAAGATTGGGATCTGCCCTGATGGTACCAATGGTGTTTATGGGCACCTACATCACTAAAGGGAAAATGAGCTGCCTACTGTGACATGGTCATTAAGCAATCTGTGTGGCAGTGACTTCACTTAATGTCTCTGTTCTGACATCTCTCCCACTTCTGAAATTTGCAGTCCCAGAAGAGCTATAGTAGAGGATGAGAAAGAAGGAAAAACAAGTCTTGAAAGAGAGAAACAGGAAGTGAAGAAGGTATTCGATATATCATATTCTTGAGAACATATTATGTCCTCACATTTTCTCCTTTTACCCTCTTTTGTTGATGAAGCAATTGAAATATTTGATTCTTTAACTACTTGTTTTGTTGTTTTTTTTTAATCTCTTCCTTTGTTTGCCCATTACTCAACCAGAACTGCCTAAAAAGCATGTAATGCTGCCAGGAGTCACATATGGCAATTGGAAATCCCTCGTGGAAAGAGGGTGTGAAACCCTTCTAAGTCCACAGAAGGATATCTTATTTGCTTATATGTATGTTGTATTAACATATATCAGAAAACTGTATCTGAATACTCAATCAACTGAATCAGATGTCTGATCTCAGCCAGGTGGAAATGAATACATAATTCTCAGTGACCAAGCCAGGGAAGATGACAGAGGTGGGATGAAGGCGTTGCATATGAGGCAGGATGTGACCAGTACCCCCCAAAGGCTGGCAAAAGACAGAGCAAAACCCTGTGAGTATCTCGTTTGGCTGTCGTGTGTTTCTTCAATGTTCAGTCCCATCTGTTGCCCAAATGTCTCTTCCATATGGGAAAAGATGTTAAAATTGAATGCAACTCTTGAACCAATTTAGTTAAACCAGGGCAAAAGGTTGCATGTGCATTTGTATTCTGGTCTGAATCATTTATTTTGGTTTTGCAAATAGCTTCCTAAGTTGGTTAACCATCTGCATAACTCAAATTGAGGTGTTTGTTTTCCTAACAGATTACCCTTATCCAAGGGAGCTGAAATCCACCTCCTCTGCTTCTCATAATTTATTGAGTCTCAGAAGAGCATTTGGCTGAGGCTTGTGGTGGAAGCACTTGTGAGCACGTGGAGAGCCTGGCGTCTCCTCCTGTCCCTCATTAGGATGGAGTATGGTTGTGGTTCCAGTGAGTCTTCTTTTACAGTTATGGCATCTGACCTCAGTCTTCCCCTGTCAAGATGCTCTGAGGTTGGTGCACAGCTCTAGATGCTGAGCTGCACAGTCCAAGCCAGCCATGATTGTAAATGCTATTCCATAGCTTCAGGTAGAAGTGCATGGGCTGTATTCAGCAGCGGTCAGGCAGTGGAATGGGCAGCCCAGGGAGGTGGTGGAGTCACTGACCCTGGAGGTGTTCAAGGAACATTTGGATGTTGTGTTCAGGAATATGGTTTAGTGAGAGCTATTGATGAGAGGTGGATGGTTGGACTGGATGATCTTGCAGGTCTTTTCCAACCTTGGTGTTTCTGTGATTCTGCTAAGACTTGGCTGCCCCTGCAAGATGTTAATGTGAAAGAAAGGTTTGCTATGCTGGGCGATGTGGACAGAGCAGAGGTGTGATGGAGAAGGTGCAAATTGGCTGTGGTTGTTATTAGTGTGGTTCTGGGGATTTATTTCATTTTTATTTTAAACTGCTTCACAGTAATTTGGTTGGAGTCTGTTTCTGTAAGCAATGTTGCTGGTTGGTTGACCTTGGATGGCTGGAAGCAGTTTCTGATGGGCAGTTTTTAAGAAGTGTTAATGGTGGGCCTCCTGCTATTGCTCCACCAGAAGCTGGCTCTGGGAACTTGTTTCCCCTCCCTTCATCCTTCTCATCTTCAAGGAGAATTGCTCTCTTAGTGGCTTGTTTGGCAGAAATTTCTGTGATTCACTAGAGCATTCTGTGGTGTTGCACATTTCTGGTGAGACCTACTGTGTGCCCTTGTGTTCATCTAGAAACAGCATCTGCTATTATGTTTGTGGCTGCATTTCTGCGTTATTCTAACTCATTTAAATACATCAAAGATTTATTATTGCCACTGAAAAAGTCCTTGAGGAATAAATCTTACCTAACCTCATGAGTTGCTGCTCTCATGCTTTGTTTCCAATGAATATCTCCTGGTGGAAGACTTTTCTGGGAGACTCTCCCTCCTCTTGTCCTTCCCAGCATATCTACAGGTATATTCTCAATGGATTGGTCCATTATTTGTCTCAGCATTGCTACCAACCATGCTAAGCTCTCCTACAATAATTTCTGCAAACATGCATTAATTCTCTCCTGGGATATTTTCAGCTGAGGAGCAACCTTCTCAAAGCTGCCATAACTGAGAATACTGATGGATATTTTATATTTCTTTAATATACTGCAAAACTTTTATCTTCAAGTTTTAAAATGTTAAATTTTTCTGAAGTCTTTTAAAGTTCTTCTGAAAGTAGTCCTGAGTACTGGCTTTTGTGGGCTCCTAGAATGGAAAGTATACCTGAAAGCTCTCATTTAGTGTGGCATCGCCTGTCAACCTTAACAGTTGCCCATGACCTGAGAAAAGTGACACAGAAAAGCTCCTAAAGCAGAGGTCCTTTCTCATTTGCAGTGTACTATGGTGCTCCTGAACCAACCGAAGACAGACCAACCTCAAGACCAAACCATCATCAGCTCCTGCTGACTCCAGAGGATGTGTACGATGACGTTGAGGGACTTCAAGACAGACTGTGAGTATGGATCGACTCTTCACTAAAGCTGAAATGAAATGTCTTTTATAAATTGTGCTGCCATAAATACCCATGTAATACTTCTTTCTTGCCTTCAAGCAGCCGTGCTTCAGATGCCTCAAGTCCATCTGCTTCAGACAGCAGTAAGTGTAGCACACGGGGCTGCTTTTAATTTGGATGGTGCTTGGGAGATGACGTGAATACCTCCATCTAACTTTCAACATCCATGATGTCTCCTTCTGGCCTGATAGCTTTGAATTCCCATTTAAACCAGTGGGGAGCAATGTTTGTATCTAGTGTGGAATTCATGTGAGCAACTTTGAAGCCTCTGTATGGGCAATATGTAAAGGCCTGGATGCATTTTACCCAGCAAAACTCACCTCATTGCTACCAAGTGTGACTTGTGATAACGGTCTGCCTTGGTTTTAAATTTCAGGAAGCAACTATGAAGAAACATATGAAGATGTTGAAACTGGGAGTGATAATCCAGCAAAAGAGAAGTAAGTTGCAGTTTACTAGCCTGAATTTCAAACTTGATCTTGAATGCCAGGTACTGGCTGGAAGCCTTATTTTCCTAATGCAACTGCAAGGAGTTGCTGTATGGGTGGATTTATTTCTCTTCTCTCCCTCTTTTCCCTTTGGCTGACATTTAGGAAACGAAATAACAGTTACCAAATTTATGTCCCTAAGCAGCAAGGCCTTCCTATGAGAGCCTGTAACGCTCTCCATCCAGTGGAACAATTCCTCTTCTAGAGCCCTACTCGCATGAAATACTCAGGGCAATCTGACCCTCCTCTTGCACAAAAAGGTTGTTCAGCTGTAACTGAAAAATGGCATCTCCTCACATGCCAAAATGCTCAAGAGACAAACAGAGGCATTGTCCTTGTAAAAGGGACAACAAATATTTTGGATCACAGACGATTGGAAAGCTGAAAGGAGCCCAGGTTGTGAGCTAATGCCAGCAGCTGGTATGTTCTATGTTACATGCAACCTGCTCCTTTTTACAGGGCTTCTTGTGATATTTGCTTCCAGAAGGCGTGTTATAAAAGCAATGAGTTTAGCAGCCTCAGGTTTATATGTTGCTAGGGTTTCCTTAGTGGATTAAGAGGTGAAACTTGAATTTAGTTGTGTTTTCACTTATTTGCTCTGTGAGGTTCCCTACTCTTGCAGATTTCCTGCGTCCCTTTGAACGAAATAGAGACAGCCTCTGGGAATGGCACATGGGCTGCTGATGCTGCACACAATTACTGTGAGTGCATCTGGTGGCTGTGTTCTAAGGAGTAGCGTGGGAGGAATAATAAGGTGTTTCTGTACATCTGCTTCTCCCCTATGAATGTGGGACTCGTACTGGTGTGCATCTGGATTCGAATCTAGTGTGCGCCAGAGAAGGGGGGGGGGAAAAACTATAGGAAACTTGAAACCCTGAAGGTGATGGGGCAGTTATTAAAAGGTGACAGCATCACTTCTCCACAGATGATAATTCTTGGGGAAATGGAGGAGCAATGCATCTTGCTGGAGCTTGCAAAGGAATTTTACAAGAGAGCTGGGGCTGGGACCAAGTTCACAGAGTTCAGAACTCAGTATCTGAACCCCCCAAACCACTCTTAATGAAATTTTTACATACATATAAAATGTTTTTAATAGTACTTGTGCGTGGATAATGACCCCATGTGAGGATCTTGGTTCTATGTTGGTCTTTCCATTGGAAATCACTACAGATTTGCAACCTCTCCTAAGCTTGAGAGAGAAATGCATGTGGTGGAATGTCTGCATGAAGGGTGTAGGAAAGAAATGTGTGGTGAGGGGGGACATAGAACAACCTTCTAGATGTCCTCCTTTAATGTGAGCTGTGGTTGGCCAGGAATTTTTTCTCCTTTTCATTGTGAATTTTTTAACTCCAAATACATCTGGGTCCGAAAAGGACAGGAACAGACTTCACCTCTTCTGTATTTCAGCTCCTGTTATCATTGAAAAATTTGAAGCTAAACAAAAGATTTGATCTTGGACATTATAATTGATCACCTTTTCCTTCATCTTTATCCATCCCGTTGGAGCCATTGTTCATCCTCATTATGCTGTTAGGCTTAAAATGTATTGCTGGAGGAGGTTCTGAGCTTCAAGTTCTCAAGGGATATGAGTATTGCAGTTCACATACTTCAGAGCCTCTTTAATTAAAAATCTTTTCTATTTTGGACAGAGCAGAAAAACAAAAGAGATTTGGAAAGCTGTTTAAGATAGAAAAATTGAAACTGAAAAATACCAGGTTCAAGGAAAACTTAAGGTAAGCAGGCTTTGGTTGCTCAGCCTTTTCCACCCTCTAAATCTGAGCCATTGTATCTGCAGTAATTTGAGAGCAGGAATAAGGAGCACAGCTTTACCTGTGAAATGACACTCAAACTGCTTCTGTCAACTCATGGGGATTTGTTATGGCAGATGTGGCCAATGGTCCATCTATGTGGCTTCCTTTATGTCAGAAACCTGCAGAAGCTGGTCTGACAGCAGCATCCCCTGGCACAACTTCACAACTTAAGATCCTCACATCTCTCTTTTGACAAATACTGTTGGTGTCAGGGACCCCGTGCATCCAGAAGCGTTCTGCATTGCTTCAGCAGCAAGCATGGTGTGCCACCAGTGTGTCAGTACTCATGGCTTTGTGGGCAATGCTGATGTGAAAGCTGGTTTCTAACAGCCTCTTCCTCTATCTTCAGGTTGTTTTCCATGTCAGCGCCAAATTTAGGTAAGCAGCATACATGTCTGGCACTTGGGAATGTGTGTATGGGGGAGGGAAATGGTGAGTTGCACAGTGGAGAAGATTTTATGCATTGTGGCTCTCTGAAAATAATGTGTCAGTGTTCATCTGAAGGCTTAATATGGGATTGCACTGCAATTAAGGGTGGTTTTTGTTGTTGGTTTTGTTGTTGTTCTTTTCTGGTCCTTCAGATTTTAATATATCCTGTGAGGCAACATGCGAAGCAGTCCTTGCTGAGCAAGAGCAGCTTTCTGCAAAGTTTCAGTGCTTTCCAGGCAGTAACTGCCCATTGAAGGGACTATCATGCCTTCTGTAAATGGGGTGGGCATACCAACTGTCCCATGCACAAGCCTGGGGATGGTGATAGAGTGAACATCCCACATCCCTGGGGTGGGAACTCTGGGATAGTGCAGCTGGGGCTTTGAAAACCCAAGCACCTTGCCTTGTGCTGGAGTCGTGGCCTGTCTTTGGAGCTGTGGGGTCTTCCTTTTGCATTGGCTTTACCCCCTTGAGTTGAGTGACTTGCAGCACCCTCAGTTCTCTTCTGCAATAAATAGCTTTGAGTCCTGGATCCAGAACTACCTTCCCAATAACGTTTTCTGCTGCCTTTGGGTGCCAGCAGATGTCTCCCAGGAGGACATGGTGTACGACGATGCTGAGACCGAGCAAAAAGACCCCAGGTGAGGAGGGCTTCTACCAGCACTGGCCAAGGAGATGACTTTTCTGGGGACCCTACAATGCTGTGAGGGTCAGGAGCAGGTCAGGACCCTCTCCTCTGGAGACAGTCCAGATGCACTCTGCTTGTGTGTTTAATTTGGCAAGAAACATCCCCCCCAAATGCTTCTTTGACATTACATAGTGCCAGAGATGTGAAAAGGAGTGAGCTGCTCACTGCCACACGGCAAAGTTGGGATCGTTTTTCTAAGGAAGGAAAAGCCCAGCTCCCAGTGCTGATAATCAGCGAAGTCCTGGCGAGCTCCTTGTCAGAAAAATTGCTGTTAATGGAAACAGCATGTCTCGTGCCTGGCTGCCAGATGATGGTGGAGGCAGCGTGTGCCTCTACAAAGCGAGCTCATGTTTGCGTCTGGGTGGGAGCTGGGAGGAGGCAGGGGAAAATCATGGCTTTGTACAGCCTGAGTTTGGGGAGGGGATGCGTCCTGCTTGCAAAACCTGAATTAGTGCAGTGCTTTTCCCTCCCTCCTCTCAGAGAGAAGGATGACAAGTGCAAAACGTGGATGCCAAAATTCCTGATGGCAAAAGAAGTGAAGGACCGACGGAGAAGCAGTGATGACGTGGAAAGGTCTTTATGGGTGTTATATTTTTCTCCCATGTTTAATGCTGTACTGAATCGTGCTGTGTTTCTCTGAAGCCACTTGCAGGAGCAGGATGCCTTTGCTTAAGCATTTAGTATTTGGCTGCTGCTCCGAGGCCCTTTTAGGAAACTTCATGAAGTATCCTGAATTCAGAATAAGCTCTTGGATCTGAGCTGTATGCAAGTGAGGGGTGCCTTATGGGTCTTATGCTGGAGCTGTACCTGTTCTTCCCACTTAGCTGAGACAATAGGGTGTAATTGCTGTGCATTGGGCTGCTTTGTTGGTGTGCTCAGTTCCATTCCCCTTCCATTTTTCCCTTGATCAAATATTCAGTCTTCAATCACGATCAACTGTTGCCATTTTGGCAAGACCCTTCGTTTTGGAAGACCCCCCCACAGTCTGCATGTCCCCTTGCCCTTAATTTAAAGTATTGAATTCTTTTCAATTTTATTTTTCCCAGCCAGAATTACCACGTTGCCTCTTGTTGTACCATTTGAGCCTGAAAACAAGCAAAACCAAGACTTTTTGTTACTGGTGCTGCAAAGACTCTTATAGGAAGCAGGCAATTTCATTTCCCTTTTAGATCAGATAAATATGCACTGCAGCTGAGGTTTTTTTTGTGACCCGGTCCCTGGGACTTCAAACACATAGAAGTCAGTGATATATTTTCTGGGTTCTTACCACAGAGTTCCTGTGTGGGGCTGCTGAAACACTGCTTGTTGTGTAGCATAGGGCCGTGTGTATGGTTGTACAGAGCACCAGGAAGCTGATGCGATTTCATCAGCTCCTTACAGAGCACAGGTTCTCTAGCCTGAGTCTGCCAATGGCAAATCTCTTAACAGCTTAGAAATCCTTGATTTCAACTCTTGGTTCCTCTTCCTCTTAAAATTTAGAGCATGAAAGTTAGCTAACTCTGTCTTATTTACTGCAAGTTGCTTTTTCTCCCTCCTATCTTAGTTTTAAAATGAATGCCACAGCTGTAAATCTGTGTACAGATCAGAAAGAGTGGCATCTCCATCTCCATGGCATTTGCTCCCCTTCACATATTTTTAAGAGCCAATTTTAATTTTACAGTGCCATATAAAATTCTGCTTTGGTTATATCCTGCTCCACGAGCTAAAAAAGCAACAGAAATAGGCAGGACTTTTGAACCCCTCTTCATAAATGGCTCACAATAAAGGTTACCTAGGGACCCTTTGTGTCTGAGCATAAATAAAAACAGAACAAGATGAATTGTTGGGGGCAAACTCAATTGTCTATGAAAACTCAACTGATTTGAAAACCTTGATGAAGTGTTTATTTGTTCTCATGCCATTTACAGGGAGCACGCTTGGTCCAAAAGCAGATACCAAATGGCTCAAGTTATGCTCACCAACACGTTTGAGTCACTTACTCACCCCTTTATGAAAAACAGTGATATGAGTGGTGTGCTTTGCTCTCATAAGTGTTCATTGCAGAAAAGCCTGGAGCAAGGCTCTGGGTTGCATTTCTCACTGTTTCCCAATGCCAGGGATTATTTAAACAATGCTCAGAAGTGTGTGTTTCTCTCTCTCGGTGCAGAAGTATCTTTAAATTCAAGAAGAGCAATGCAGAAAAAAATAAGATGGAAAATGAAGAGAAGATATTTAGAGAAACATTTCTGGTACGTGTCTGTTTTTGCGCACTTGTTGTGCCAGAGGAGGATGAAGGATTAAGAGAAGCATGGTGAAAATTTGTCTTTATCTACACTGGCAGAGATGTCCAACTAGCCTGCTGCATCATCTCATCTAGGATCTCCATCAGCGATGTTGCCAGGCTTTTCATAGAACCATAGAATGGTTTGAGATGGAAAGGACCCTTAGAGGCCACCTAGCCCAACTCCCCTACAGTGAACAGGGGCACCCTTGGCTCCATCAGGTGCTCAGAGCCCATCCAGCCTGGGCTTGAGTGTCTCCAGTGATGGAGCAGGCACCACCTCCCTGTGCAATGTGTTTCAGTGCCTGACTAGCCTTATTCTAAAAGCCCTCTTCCTTATATCTGGTCTAAACCTGCCCTCTTTCCATTTGAAGTCATTTTCCCCTTGTTCTATCACAACAGACCCCTCTTTTGCCCCAAGCAAAGCCTCACAACCTCACCCTTTCACTGCCCTTAGAGACATCGCATGTCAGTGTGGAGTTACATCTGTCCTTGTTCTCTGTCTACAGTATGACAAGGAGATCCGAGTCATCAACACAGCAACCGCTGCATGCTCCATCCCCAGCATGAGGAGAGCTGACCTCCCGCTCACAGCTGGAGAACAGCTGGATGTGATCGATGTCACCGAGGGCAGCGCAGTGATATGCCGCAATTCAGAGGGCAGATGTAAGTCTGTAGGAGCTCACTGGCACAGGCAGTCAGTGTTCAATCTGGTTTTAAGGAGCAAATTGACTTGGTAGATAATATGACGTGCTTTGTGCTGAGCCACTGCTGCTATATTTGCTCAGGAATTTACTAATTTGCTGTTTTTCCCCCTTTTCTCAGATGGGTATGTCCTAGTGGAGTACTTGAACTTCAGGTAAACTTGGATTTTATTTATTGCAATGCGTTTTTTAAGGGCTCTTCCAACCTAAACCATTCGATGATTCTGACATTTTCTTCTTCTTCTGTATACGGATATTTGAGATATAGAGGAATGTGATTTAAACTTCTGAAGCCAGGGGAACGCTGATGTAGACAGTATTAAATGTTAAATAAGTATTTCTTGGTTTAGTCTGTTATTACAGTTACATGGATTTGCAGTCATGACCTATATAGTTTGGAGATCTTTCACGGCCTTCAGATATGCCATATTAATTCATATCTGCTGCAAACACAATCCACTCCCTGTGCATCGCCTTGCCAAAACACACCCCTAAGCTCGCTGCTACAACAGCATTTCTTTGCATGCCCATGGCTGATTGCTACAAACAAGCCTCTTATTGCCAAGGTGCCTGTTGGTATGAAATTTCTTTTTCTGACAGGCAGTACTGACGGCCCCGGAGCATCCCCAAAGTGCTGTTTTGAGCCTGGGAGAGCCCATGTTTGTCGATGTGGGGAGCTGATGCCTATGTAAATAAAGCTTTATTTTTTACACTTTCTCTGGTAAGCATGCAAGAGACACTTTTTTTTTTTTATTTTTTTATTTTTTGGTCTATTTTGAACGTTTTCTCTGATGTTTCTCAACATCAGTTACTTCTAGGGTTACTCTCTTTCTACCTCCCTGTTTACCTCTGGAATGGCTACAAAATTTGCATGAGGGGTCTTATGCAGTTTAGTTGCTCCATGTCCGTCTCTTAGTGTCCTTTTTTAAGTGCTGGAATTACATGGTTTCCAATCACACGACATTGAGTTTGCTTTCATCTTGAAAGTATTGGGGCAACAGGTATTTATTACATTCTTGATGTATGAAGTATATAAAATAGTGGAAAAGTTGGCTAGTACCTTTCCAAAATAAAAAAAAAAAAAAGGGGGGGGGGAAGAAGTTAAAAAGTAAATAAAGCCTTCAATAGAAATGTACTTTATTTTTGCAAGCTAACATAGGCATCCAGGCCGTGTGAAGGCTGCCTTCTGGCTTCCCCACTGCACAGCAGCAGGTATGCACCCAACAGTTGTCCCTGTGTTCGGAATGCTGAGTGCTTATTTTCAGAAAAAGGCTCCTAAAAGTAGGAGGAGAAATATAAACTGCCAATGGCTTCTCCTCGGTGTACCCAGTGAATGCCTTTTCAAAAGAAGAAAGGAAAAAAAAAAAAAAATAAAGTGAACTCTGAGTTTGTTTTCCAGTAAGGTTTTTACGTGGCTTTTGGCAGAAAGGGACATGAACATAGTTGTGCTGTGCAGCCCCTCCCCAGCCCCCTATCGGCGCGCTCATAAATAACCCTGAAAATGTAGGTGGCTTAATTAGAAATTATTAAATGTTCCAGGCTTAAGAAAACATGGCAAAATAAAAACGCTGTTTGCCGCATGGCCATTTCAAAGCTGGCATCGAAGGCATCAGAAAAACAGAGCAAATATTTAACATTTACTTTCAAGTCTATACAGGCATTCTTATTTATTTTACCATGTGGTTACTATTAAGTGTATTGGCCTCCATCCATCCTTGAGAGAGAAAAAAAAAAGAAATAAAACAACCCCCTTCAAACATGCACAGCTTTGCACACTTGCCAGCCTAAATATTTAGATTTCTCCAGGGGAGATGGAGAGCTGGGGGGCTGAGGGGTGTGCTTGGCCACGGAGCTGCTGGGGGTGTATGTCCTTCTTTCCCAACCTCCCAGGGCCCTGTCCTGATAGTAACCAAGTAGATGTTAGCTCCCTGGGGGGCTCTCCTCCATGATCATGTTTAGAGCTGATCCCATTGGGAAAACTCCTGATTGCTTTTTTGCCCTCCTGTCCTCATCCAACGCTACCTCTGTAAATGATGCTGCATGTGCTGCAAGTCTCTTCTCTCGTGGTGAAGCACAAACATTTGCATTGGTGTTGGCTGCAGCCAGCAGTTTGCTTGTCACAAGGAAGCCTTGCAATGCACTCATGCTGTTTTTCTTCATGGATGGATTCCAGCACACGTACGGAGAGAAATCACTTGATATGGGTTGACTTAAGACAATACCAAACGCTTTGCATTCAGCAATTTAGATTAGATTTCCTTGATTAAACCACAGATTGGATATACTTAGGTCAAGATGCTGTTTAGGAAATTGAAGTCTTCCTTTTTTTTTTTTTTTTTTAATAGCCTTGCTACTCTATCCTCAACAAATCAAAACTTAATTTGCGTGTGCGGTGTAAACCCTGCTCCTCAACATCCCTTCTCAAAATGAAAATCACCATGCTAACATTTCCAATTTGCTCAATCCAAGGGATTTCATCAAGCTGGTTGTAGCAAAAAATTGTGATTAGAGAAGTGTGCAGATAGGGATGATGCTGGAATGCTTGCTGCAGCTTTGTGCTTTAATGGGATTTGCATCCCTTTGCATCACAGGCATACATGAACAAGCCCTAAATCATCTTCCAAGTTCTTTTTTTTTCTGTAATGAAGGATTATTTTTGCAAAACATCTTTAAAATATTTCAGTGCTATGTCAGTCAGGTCCATCAGCTCCACTGGATGCATGCTAAAACTGAAGAAAACCTTTGGGCTTGGCTCAGGATGTGTATTCTGGCTCAGAGAAGCTGCTTTTGTTACGCTTGTATGTATTTTAACTCTCTTTCCTGTCCTTTTGTCCAGCTCCATTAGTTGAAAGAATTGAATACTTTTGTCTTTTTTTATCTCTGAGTTTATTAAAGTGCAAATGTCAACCACAGAGACAGCTATCACATGCAGTGTAGTACACTGAGAACCACTTTCCACACCATCAACAGAAGGTAAAAGGCTTCTTTGTGATTATCTAACGCACAGTTACTTGTACAAAGGACAAAACTGAACCCAGGCTCTGTGCCCTTCCACCATGGCTATAGCTAGACATAAGTGTCAATTTCAATGACTTGATCAACAACACTTTCCCTATCAGCTGAGAAAGTGCTGAGAAAGATGGAGGAGTCATAGACTTTAGTATTTTTCTGAGCTTCATATCAGTGATATGTCTGAAGAGATGTCACTGCTAGGAGCTTTTACAGTTCAGTATCTTAACAGAAGAAAAATCATAAATGCTCTTTGTAGTACAAACAACCAAAACATTGCAACGGGCCAATCTGGTTCCTATCCTGTGGAGGTGAGGATTGTCTGCCCTTGACTGCTGGGATGTGGCACTACAGTCATCCTAGGATTCAGTTTTGCTTTGAGCTCGAAAAAAACCAAACCACAAATGCACTGAGGTACAAAATGCATGAATAGAACATGATACAAAATACATGAACATGCTTTCAGCAACAAGAATATATATTACCATGTCTACAGTGCCTACTTCACAGCTTAGTGAGATGAGGATAAATATCTCAAATTAAAAAGGTGCAGAGATGAATCTTACAAATTAACTTTGATTTTGTCTTTAAATTAAGGCAGCTTCAGCAGGAATTTCAAGGCTTTTGTTGAAAACAGACTGCTTTTGTAACTTCATTCGTGCTTTGCAGCCAGAGCTCTGGTGGACTGCCCAGTTCTGATTCTCAAATCTAGCAAAGACACGAGCATTGTGTGCATGCAGCATCAGTTCTGCTGCAAAAATCAGCATTTGGTCGAATTCTGAAAACAGTTCATCTTTCAGGCATGGAAGAGAGGAGAAGCTCTGAATATAGCTCTCTACAGCTCCCTGAAAGGAATCTGTGGCAGGGTGGAGGTCAACCTCTTCACCTGCATAATGATAGGATGAGAGGGAATGGCCTCAAGTTACACCAAGGGAGGTTCACATTGGATATTAGGAGATATTTCTTCTCTACTCAGGTACTGGAATGGGCTGCACAGGGAGGTGGTTGAGTCACCACCCCTGGAGGTGTTCAGGAAAATTCTAGATGTTGTACTAAGAGACATGGTTAAGTGGGAATACTGGTGGTAGTTGAATGACTGGATGACCTTGGAGGTCCAACCTTGGCGATTCCATGAACCGCTAAACACAAGTCTGAGAGATGGACTGAAAATTCAGAATTACAGGAGGTTGTTTCCATTTTGTAAATAAAAGATGAAGAGAAATTCACACAAGAAGGGCTCAGAAAGCCAAAGGAAAGCATGAAGTGGAGAGCCCATGTCAAAGTAGGCCCCGAAGAAAGGTGACCATAACAGCTACACAAAAAATGGATCCTAAGACATTCCAGCAAAAACACTACAGAAGCTGGAGCAGGGATTTGTATGGCTCATTGGAAGAGGACTGACGGGAGATTCTTTTTCTCCCCTTCCTGTGAACCACTAAAAGGGTGAAGCTAAAAACTGCACAGCAAATGGTACTTCAAGTATTTAGGCACACAGCCTTCAGGTCTCACCAGTATGACTCTGTGAGCTGTGGGGTTCGTGCACCATGGGAACCTGCATCTTCCAGGAGCCCTAAAGAGAAGGCACGAGTTCATGTCCTGTGCTGGAGTCTCTTCCTTCTACATGGATGCACAAAAGATGACTGATGATAAGGAGCAGCAAAATGAAAGGGAGTAGACAGAACAGTTATTTTGTTCGAACTTCATCTAGTCTGATATGAATTGGCATTATAATCACACCAAAAAAAAAGTACATACCACAGTTACAAACCAGTTGCTTAATTTTTTGTACAACCCTGCCCACATCCTTGTGCTTGGATGCATGATCAGGACACACATACTGACTCTGCATTTCAGACCTATGAAAGAAGAAAACTCCCTCTGCCTCTGCCTGCACAGCCCCTGGAAGGCAAACAGCCCCGCATTTCTAACGCATAAATATGTTTGCCAACAGTACAATGCAAGCCATTTCTGAATTAACCCATCCAGAAGCTGGAGGTTAACGCTGAACTCTATCCTTTGCATTTTGTCACTCGCTTAGTTTTGCTGAAGCATTGTTGGGATGAATCTGTGGCTTGCAAAGCACAGCTGTCAGTGGTTCGTGAGGAATTGCACTTGGAAGAATTCAAGTTTGTTTAGTTCCAATATATCTCGTACACCCTGCTTTTCCTGGTGGTTGTGCATGTACCAGTAACTCAAAAAAAAAAAAAAAAAAAAAAAAAAAGACCACAGTGTAACAGTGTACAAATGAGACTTTTACTCCAAAAAGCATAATTGGAGGTCGATAGCTTTATAGCAGCTGAGAACCAGAAAACAGCCTATGCCAAGATTAAAAATAAAAATAAAAATAGTGAAACTTCTCCAAATATCTCAAAAGTTGGAGTGTACATGGGTAAGGCTGTTTAATGGACAGCTTTATCTGAGTTGTTCACCAAGGAGGTCCTGGGCAGGAGCACCTAGTGACCACCTGGCATGGCTTGACTCAAGGCTGCAGTGCCTCTGGTGGTATTTGTCTGGAATCCCAAGACATTCTTGTTGCCTTGGCAGGATGGGTTTTGCAAATCCATATATTAGTGTTTGTAAGGTTCTGAGAAGATCCATTTCTTGTGTTCAAGAAACGTTTAGATGTTGTACTGAGGGACATGGTTTAGTGAAGAAATACAGGGGGTAGATAGATGGTTGGACTAGATGATCTCACAGGTCTTTTTCAA